GGATCTGCCACCAATGGATGGATAGGGATAACAGCTTCATTGATTATTCTGAGATCCTGTACTAGCTGATATTCCCCTGAAGTTTTTAAGATGGATAAAATGGGAGTATTACAAGGTGAATTTGCAAGGCTTTAAAAGTTCATGAGTTAGCAATTCCCGAATTATGGGCCTCCAGCTTGATTGGATATGACTTTTGGTTGGGAAAATAGCTGGAGTCTTTTAAAGCTGTATTTTGACTAGCTTTGCCATTTTGGTGTTCCCTGGTTTCCCGGTACACCAAGCTAGTAGGTTGACCTGTTTGTTAATGGGGTCTAGGACACTGTTTATTTCCCCAACCGTCATCAGTCCTGCTGGGCAGTGTTTATATTGTAGTAATTCACCTGTTTTAACCATGATATCTGCCCCCAACAAGAGTCTGGGCAGCTTGATATTACTAGAAACTCCTATTGGAAAATTTGCTTCTCAAATTGACAAGTTAAAGGAGGAGCAAAGCATCTCATTTTTGGCTTCCCCTCCATTCCCATAACATTCATGGACTGGGAGGAAAGTTTTCCTGCATAAGCAGTAAGGACAGAGTAATTTGCCTCTGTATCAAAAAGAAACTAAATTTGGGTGCCCATGATGTCCAGAGTTACCCAGGGCTCCTCAATAGTAATGATGATGTTCCTGGACAGGGACAGTGAGAAAGACCCCAGGCCACTTCAGTCTTCATCTAACTCTTCCTTTTACACTGCCAGAGTTTTGACTGACCGAGCCCCTCAGTGGGAGCAGGGGCAGTCAATTGGCCAGTGCCAAGGGTCATGACTGGTGCCTTCACATTGATGGCAGGGGCCCAGTGGGGGCTTAGTATGGTCCTTTGCCCAGTGCCCATCTTTTTTTGCACTTGAAGGAAGACCCTTTGCTAGCATTATCTTTTTAGCCCTTTGTGTTTCCCTTGGATGCTCTTTGGGCATTCAGGGCATCACTAATGATGGCTGCCATAATTCTGGCTTGCGGGGTTTTTTTACTCTGTTCCCCTTTCCCTTCCTCCAGTTCATGATTGCTGTACACCATAAAGGTGGTGTCAAGGAACTGGTTTTGTCTGTGGCCCCATTTGCAGCTTCTGGAGCTTATGTATAATGTCTGGGGTAGACTGACTAATGAAATGTTGTGCCATTAATATCTTGCCTTCAGGAGAAGCAGGATCTAAGTTTGTATATATTTTAAAGGCTTCTTCTAGTCTACTATAAAACATGGCTGGATTCTCTTCTTTCCCCTGAGTGATCTCCCTAAACTTATCATAGTTTACTGTCTTTGTTACCCCTTTTTTCATTCCCCTCAGTGGTGCCTCAAGAAATTTAGTTTGATTATTCATTCTCATGGGGGTATTATATTTCCAGTTGGGTTCAGTAGTACGGACTGTATCTGCTCCTGGTCTGTCTTGCCCTGCAGGCTACATGCAAAATGTTCATCAGTGTCCTGGCGAGCAGCCTCAAAAATTCATTCCTTTTCCAGAGGTATGTAACAGGTGGCCAAAATGAATTGCATGTCTCTCCAAGAAAGGTTGAAAGCCAAAGTCAAAGTCTGGAACCCATCAACAAATTTCTGAGTAACTGCCCAGTTTTTCCTTACATTGTTGGATATCAGTAATTAAGAAGGGGATCTGTACCCTGATGGGACCCTCAGTTCCTGCCACCTCTCTGAGAGGTAGCAGGGCAGGTGGTGTCATTGAATATGGTGTTCCTAAGCTAGTATGGGGAGGGCTCGCTAGGACCCGTGACTCTTGTCCTTCTTTTGAAGCTTTGAGTGGACTTGGACCTGGATTATAGGAAGGTGGCTGTTGTTCACGCTGACACATATGTACTCCTTGCAAGAGGGAGTTATCTACAGTATCCAGCTTAGTTTTAGGAGTTTCTTTCTGTGGAGAAGTGTTGGGGGCTTTGAAAATGGTAGGCTTTTAGTATAGGGCCATGAAGGCTTGCACATATGGTATTTCTGACCATTTGCCTTGTCTCTTACAAAATAGATCTAATTGGAGGATGGTGTCATAATTGAGACTCCATTGACTGGCCATTGCTCTTGACTCCCTAGCTGAAATTGAGGCCAAAAGGTGTTACAATAAAATATTAGGCATTTCTTTCACAGGTTTTCAGGGTCAAACTGATTGCAATGATTGAAGATGCAGCCAAGAGGGGAGTCAGACAGGACCTGACGGAGTGTTTCCCATGACTAATCTGTGGAAAAGAAGAAGGGAGTCTCATAGTTTCATGAGTTTACATCTAGAGTCTCCCTTAAGGGTGTCCCCTGCTGAAGGATTGGGGCATCCCCCAAATGGACCTGTCCTCTGGAGTGCCAAATGTGTCTAGCCATAGGTGGGCACCAGTGCCATTTGAAGAAGGATCCTGCCATAATTGGTCACCTATGATAAGTTTCCCTTTAGTTCCTGGGTGTAACCTTTGGCTTCTAATATCCTGGTAGCTGGCCAAAAGGGTTTCTTCCCAAATGGTTTCCTTAACTATTTAGTAGTAACTCTACTTTGAAGGGCAAGGAATTGCAGACTGCCTAGTTTAAATTTGTTATTAGAGACTGGCCTCTCAATAACGTAGTAGAGTGCGCTCTAGCTATATGAGATAAACCAGGCACAGCAATTTCCCCATGGATCCACTGCACAATTTATGCAATGATCCAAGAATCTCCACCAGGAGTTTTCTTTTAGCACCAGATGTACTAAACTAAACCAATCTAGATCTGATCCCTCACAGAAGAAGCAGGGTACTCTCATTATCCAGGTGGTTGGCCCTAATCTTTGGGCTGATGCTAACCCTTGGGCTTCCCACAGACAGTTACCTATTGCCCTGGCCCTTTGGGTTTGGGGGATATCTCTAATTGGTCTAAACATGATATCCCAACACAAATGAAGAAAAGAAAAAAAATTAAAACAGACAGCAAGGCCGGGCATGGTGGCTGACCGGGCATGGTAGCTCATACCTGTAAATACCAGCACTTTGGGAGGCCGAGGTGGGCGGATCACCTGAGGTCAGGAGTTCGAGACTAGCCTGGCCAACATGGTGAAACCCTGTCTCTACTAAAAATACAAAAATTAGCCAGGCTTGGTGGCGGGCGCCTGTAATCCCAGCTACTCAGGAGGCTAAGGCAGGAGAATTGCTTGATCCCAGGAGGCAAAGTTTGCAGTGAGCCGAGATCACACCACTGCACTCCAGCCTGGGCGACAGAGTGAGACGCCATCTCAAAAACAAACAAATAAACAAAAAACAAAAAAAACAAGCAGCAAATAATGTAATAATTATAGCCGCACAAACATGCATCTCACTGTTGCAGGGATTGATCTTGTACCTGGTGGGACTTATCTGTTCCATTCCCCAATCAGGTTATCCTGTCACGTTGAGGCAGGAATTTAAAGAAAGAAATAAGTTTTGTACTGCATTTACTCATTCTAAGAATAGTAACAAGCAAGGCTATAGGAAAGTCATGGTGACCTAGTCTAAGAAGCCAGGAATGAGCTCCAAACACCCCCGAGCAATGGTTAAGAAAAACAAATTCCTTTACTGTTTCTCTTTCTTTAGACCATTAATTATGACTATTTTTGCCTGTGTTTAGCAAGATTTGTAGGTTCCTGTTTTTCTTTTGACACAGCTGCAAGGCCACGAGCTAAGCAAAGCCACAAGTTATGCGAAGTCAGCAGTTATGCTATACATTACTAAACCTGTCACTGTATGATTTACTGCCTTGGTTCTGCTTCTGTAGTTTAGCCTATATAAGCCAAGCTCTGTCTTTGTTCAGGGCTCAGCTTTTTGGATGCAAATCCACTGAGCCAGTGCACACCTTAATAAAGTCTTCCTGCTCCACCCATTGGTCTCTCTGATCCTCTGCTTTCCCACAACAATGGGAGTCTTCAAGTGGCCGGTGCCTTTTTGGCTCTTAACTGCCCAATCTGTGCCAGCAAAAGGCAGCTTTAAATCAAAGTGAAAGAGCTGAAGCAAAAAGGAAAGAAAATAAAAAGTCCCAGTTCTTTTGGGCTTACCTACTGGCTGGCTCACCAAAATATGTTACCAGATTGGAAGTTGGGAGTTCCAGGTTCTTGGTGCTGTGAACAAAGAATTGGATGAGACTCACAAATAACCACTCCACAAAATTTATTAAGCAAAGAATGTTCCAGAGAGACGAACGGGCTGATTTTCAAGTGGTATCAGCCCTGGATTAAAATAGCCTTTGTTCTTTTATGCCCACTTCCTACTCTTCCTTAACTCTAGGGAGGGGATTTCCTATAATTGTCATATCCGTTTTCTTGTTGTTTTTCTCTCTCAGTGCGCCTGCGTGAGTTTGCCATGATTTTAAGTGTATGTACGATATGCATTTCATATGTATGAGCTGGTCAGTCTTCTGACTTCCTTCCCTATTCTGCTGCCTCAGAAGGCCTATTTGGGAGAAAAGTAAACAGTAAAGAATGAAACTCCCTCTGATCGTCTGGGAAATTTTCAGGGGAGAAATGGAATTCTAGGATTTTACTATGTGTTTTCCATCTGGGAGTGGACTATAACAGTTTATTTCAATTTAATTCCACTCACTCACAAATGTTTTGCTGAGTAAAACAGTCTCCGACTCAAGGAATTCACAGTTGGTGGCGGCAGGGAGAGACAGATCAACAAATGATTGTATTTTGATGGATGAATTCCATGGATCTATACAGCGCCTCAGGGAGATACTATTGTGGGACAATTAATTGCATTGGGTGGTTGTCAGGAAAAGTTGCAGAGACAACGTGTTATCTGCGTTTGGGGATTACGTGGTGAGCAGGCGTTCACCTTGCAAGTGAAGACTACTCCGCTGCAGGGTCCGGTACTGGGGCGGCGTTTTCGCCGCATACGCAGTAGGTGATCCAAACCTCCCGCCGACAGGAGGAAGAGGATGCCAGCTCAGGCACTAGCTGAGGTTTGGCATTTGACGGCCGCGGGCGCCGACCTCCAGGGGGCGCCGTGGCCTCGCGCTGTCCGGGCCGTTGCATTTCCGGGCACTGGGGCGCCGCCATCTCCAAGCGCGTCCCCGCCGCGAGCCGCGCACCGTCCGCCGCTCCCGTTACCGGGGCAACCGCGGCGCCTCCTCCGTGTCGTCCCGGATCGTCCCTCCGCGCCATTTTCAAACTGCCCTAGCACCGGAGCCCGTGCTTGGGGGGAAGGAGCTAGTGGGGGAAATCGAGGCCCGAGGGCAATGCGGCTGAAGCTGCCGGTGAGTCCGGCCGTGGGAGCGAGGGGTCCACCTGCGGCGGTGGTGGCGCCTTCGCCTTCTGGGCGGTAACCGGGGGCCGGGCTCGGGAGCTGCCGGGAGGTCGCGCGGCCGCGGGAGGAAGTGAGGCCGGGCCGGGTTGGACCGGGTGGGGAGGGGTGCGGGGACTCTTCCCACCCACCCCGCCCCCACACCTCCTTCCTGTCAACACCCGACGGTAAAGTTGCAAACCGGAGATTGGCCGGAGGAGAGCTTGGGCCGACTTGTCACGGAGCGTCAGTGTAGGCCGTGCAGACGGGCTTGCTGTTGACCAATGGTTCGATTTAAACATTAAAATGCCGTCTCAGTGTCACAATCATCCATGCTCTTTGTAACAAAAATGTCCCAAAGCGTAGGACGACAGCCTTTAATTAACCTTCACCCAGCTCCTTTGAAGCCTCTCCACTGCTTTCCAGCCTTTACTACTTTGAGTTCAATACGAAGGGACTCCGAGATAACCACAGCTAACGGGTTTCTTTGTTGTTTGCGGTTTTGTTTTTTTAACCCCTGTGCACACGTACATACAGCATTAAATGTACTGGTTTTCAAACGCCAACCCCCAGATACTTCTACACATATATGTATGGGTGACTCCCAAACCGAACCTTTTATGTTGCTTTGCTAGAAACTTAGAGTATAGCCGCCATATTTGGATGGGGGTTACGGGGGAAGGCGGGGAAGGCAACAGTTCATGGGTGGGGATGGCCTAACATGTTTCTGTCTGGGAGGATTTTAATCTGTCCTGTGTATTGAGGCCCTGCCCATGATTTATTGATTCGTATTCATTCTCATTCTCTCCCCTCCAAAGCAGGATGTGAGGAGGTATTATCTCTGGGTAACTGGAGTTGGTAGCAAAGAGGGGAAATGTTTTGAGTGGTGCACCCCTTTAAGTTTACACCCTGCTAGCAATACACCTGGATTTGTCAGGTCTATTTCTGATGTCTGCAGGAATTTCCCTAAAAACCCTGCATCACTTAGGTGTCTCTTGTGGAAGGAACCTAGGAAATCCATTAGGAAGCGATTCAAGAAAAGTTAACAAGAGCAAAGAGAAAGATACACAGAAAGGAGTCACCAAGGAGAGTGACTGATTTAGAAATGATTTGGTAAGTTGAGGAAGCATGGTACAGAAACCAGAGTGCTGGACCAGGACTCAGGAGACCTGGTCTCTGATGACTGCCCACCTACTTTGTGGCCCCGTGGTTTTGGAAGAGTTACTTTCTTGAGGCAGCCTTTCCTCATGTTTAAGTAGGGATGTTATCATTGGTCTTTCTCCCTCACCGGGTAGTTGTGAGGATCGGCTTTTACATGTATGCTCATGCATGTAATGCATTTTTAATATATTGTGAAGAACAACAGATGTAAAACAAAATTTTTATTTGGCTTAGAAATGTGAGTACCATGACTGCAGTTAGTTAGCAAAGGTTAGAAAAGAGCAAAGTTTCTAAAGAAATGATATTTGGGCTGAGCGTATTGGCTCACACCTGTAAACCTAGCACTCTGGGAGGTAGAGGTGGGAGAATACCTTGAGCTCAGGAGTTGGAGACCAGCCTGGGCAACATAGCAAGACCCTCTCTCTAAAAAAGGTAAAAATTAAAATTGAAAAAAAGAAATGATCTTTGGATAACTCCATTTTAGGACAGATTGATAGGAATATATTTATAAATATTTAAAAAGACAAAGATAAGAACTTGAACAGAGGTACTTATGTGTGTCTTTTTTTTAACTGAAGTGAAATTTACATGGTGAAATGCACAGAGCTTAAGTGTACTATTTGAAAAGTACATTCTCTAAATGTATACACTTGTGTAACCACTACCCCAATCAATGTAATATTTTCATTATCCTAAAAAGTTGTCTCTTAACTCTAACAGGCAATCTGCAGCCCGCCTCACCTCCCCAGACATCTGTTTTGATTTCTGACCCCATGGTTTAATTTTACTTGTTCATCAACTGCGTATAAATGGAGTCATACAGTGCATGTCTGGTTTTTTTTGCTCAAATAATGTTTCTGAGATTCATCCATGCTGTTGATGTATATCAGTAGTTTCTTTAATCCCTTAATATTGCATTGTATAAATATATCATAGTTTATGCCTTCTGCTGTTGATGGGGGTTTAGGTTGTTTCCAATTTGGGACTACTATGAGTAAAGCTCCTGTGAACGTTCTTGTAGAGTCTTTTTGTGGATATTTTTTATTTCTATAAATACCTGGGAATAGAATCACAGGGTTATAGTCTAGAAGTATGTTTAACTTTATAAAAAACTGCCAGACTTTTTCCAAAGTGATTTTACACTCCTGTCAGCAGTGTGTGAAGGTTCTAGTTGCTCCAGATCTTTGTCGACATTTGCTGTTGTCGGTCCTTGTAATTGTAGTCATTCTAGTTTGGGATAAATTGTACCTTGTTGTTTTAATTTGTATTTCCATGTTGACTACTGTTGAGCACCATTTCATATCATTATTCCCATTCAGACACCTATGCGAGGTGTCTGAGTCTTTAGCGCAACTAAATTTTAGTTTTAGCCCAAATTAATGTTCTTATTGAGATGTTTGTCTTACTATTGAGCTGTAAGCGTTCCTTTTATATTCCCTATACAAATCCTTTGTCAGATATTGTGAATGTTTTCTCCCACTCTTTGGTTTGCCTTCTCTATTTTCTTATTTTGATGAGGAGACATTTTAAATTTTGATGAAGTCCAGTTTATCAAATTTATCTTTTATGTTTAGTGCTTTTAAAAGAGGCCTCTCTGAGAAGTCTCTGCCTACTTCAGGCTTAGGAAAAATCTTTGTTTTCTCCTAGAAGCTTTAGTATTTTAACTTTTACATTTAGTTGTATGAAGAAGTATTTATTTTAATGCAGCAACAGGAATATCATAAGCATTGACTTTAAATCTGAATTTTCCAGAAGGCTACCTACCTGAAGAAAAACAAAAAATAATTGCTTCATATTAAAATAATTTTTTCTTCTTATTGTGAAACAACGGTCATAGCTATAAGAAGATAACGATGTTTCATTCTTTTCTCTCAGGACTTTAATTTTTGGAAGTGAATAAAACTTGTTTTGGAAGTACAAGATGACTACAGCTGTAGAAAGAAAGTATATTAATATTAGGAAAAGACTGGATCAGCTGGGATACCGCCAGACTCTGACAGTGGAGTGTTTACCTTTGGTAGAAAAACTTTTCAGGTAAAGACAAAAACACAGTTTTAAACCTAATCCACTTAACTCATTTCTGATTAAACTTCATGCTTCAGTAAAGAAAAGGGTAGCTTTTCGGAAAGTCTTTCAATCATGAAGCTCATCTGTTTTTTCCCTGCTGTACTGTTCAAAGTCAACATTTCTGAGGGTTTTCTCTGTGAACAGAATTACAGTTTTTTGGGTATATGATATAATTGAAAGACACTTCTCCCTGAAGCTCTTTTTTTTCCCGCTGAAGTTCTTTGTCTGCTTCACTGGTCTTCAAATACAGTCATGGATAGTTTCATGACAGTGACACGTTCTGAGAAACATGTCATTCATTAGGTGATTTTGTCGTTGTACCGACATCATAGGGTGTGCTTACACGAATCTAGATGGTATAGCCTACCACAAACCTAGGCTATATGATCTATATCCTATGGCTCTTAGGCTACAAACCTGGACAGCATGTTACTATACTGAATACTATAGGCAGTTGTAACACAATGGTGCCTATTTGTATATCTGAACATATGTAAACATAGAAAAGGTATTGTATCGTGCTACAGTGTTAAAATGACCAGGATCTCATGAGGCAATAGGAATTTTTCAGCTCCCCCCATTATAAATCTTACAGAACTACTCTCCTTTCTATATGTGGTCTGTGATTGACCAAAATGTCATTATGTGGTGCATGACTGTATTTTAAGCCTCTTTAGAAATATGTTTTTAGTTATTAGAAAGTTAATGAAATATTTCCTGGTATTTAAATTTTCTGTTCTTTTAGCGACTTAGTTCATACAACAGAGAGCCTTCGGCAATCAAAATTATCTACTGTGAAAGCTGAAAAAGAAAGTGCCAATTTTGATTTTGTTTTGGAACCCTATAAACTTGAAAATGCAAGACTGAGTAGAGAAAATAATGAATTATACCTAGAGTTAATGAAACTGAGAGAACATTCGGACCAACACGTTAAAGGTAAGCGAAAATTTGAAAATTTTTAAAATGCAATGTCTTTGTCCTTTTTGTTTTAGAAGGAAAGGCTAATGTCTAATTTTAAAACTATCGATTAGAAAATATAGTAGTCCTACAGCTAGATGGTGTGTGCCTATAATCCCAGCTACTCGGGAGTCTAAGGTGGGAGGATTGTTTGAGTCCAGAAGTTTGAGACCAGCCTAGGCAACATAGTGAGAACTTGTTTCAAAAAAAGAAAAGAAAATATGGTAGTCCTTCTGCTAATAGCCCCTGAAAGACTATAAGGTATGTTGAAGAGTTCCTGAGAAGGAAAATAAATGTGCATTATATAGCTATGGTAATCACTATATGTGGATTACATTTTTAGAATTAAAATTTTAGAATTAAAATTGCCATAGGAAATATTAAATGCTGGATTTGAAGAAATGTTCTTGAAACAACTTTTGTTTTTCCCTTACTGAAAATAAAAGTAGTAAATAAGGTGAAAGCCATGTATCATGCTGACTGTTTTATAGTCAGTCTTTGAGCTGTGGAGTAGAATAGGATGATTTCAAAAGTACTAGGGAAAAGATGATTATATGGTTATCTTAGTATGAATTATTCTTATATTAAGTAGAAAACTTTATCTAATCCATGGGATGAATTGGTAATCCTTTAGCTTCAGACCCAATTTACTGGATCAAAAGCTATGATGTACATTAGGCTCATACAATAGCTGCAAAATGAAGATTCCCTTTTGTGCTTAGTGAGTTATTTGCAGTTTTGTTAATAATAGTAGAAGAAGGAATACGTTTCTACTAAAGCATGCGTAAGAAGCAGGTGGAAACTTTTAAATTGATACAACTTTTTGTATTTTGTGAAATGGAAAACCTTCATTGGATTTCTTGATCTTTAAAATGGTCTTTGAATCTTTTTCATTTTAAGAGTTGAAAACTTCATTGAAGAAGTGTGCACGTGAAACAGATGATCTGAAATTTCTAAATAACCAATATGTTCATAAACTCAAACTGTTGGAGAAAGAGAGCAAAGCTAAGAATGAAAGAATTCAACAACTTCAAGAAAAGAATTTGCATGCTGTAGTACAAACTCCAGGTAAATCGATTCCTTCTCAAGACAAATTGGACATATTTAATCTTTTAACGATGTTAAAATCATTGACTAAAATAGGACTTTGGATTGTATTTTCATGCTTAGACTTTAGTGTTTGAAAATATATATTGAATAGATCATAAACTTCTTATTTATTTCTAATGATCTGGGTAGTAATTTATATGTGTGCTTAGAAATGTATGTAGTGTTAGTTACTGAGATATAAGTAGTCTAACTTTAATGCCCAGAGCTTTCTCTAATCAATATTTTAAATTCTTTTTTCTATTATTGTTATCATTATTATTTTAGTTGTAAAAGTAACCCATACTCATTAAAGAATTCGGAAATTATGTACTTTCTTAGTTTATTTTACTATTTTTAGCATTATGCTCAGCAGTTATAGAGCAAGAAAAAGAAATGATGGGTCCAGGTGCGGTGGCTCACACCTGTAATCCCAACACTTTGGGAGGCTGAAGTGGGCAGATCATTTGAGCCCAGTTCGAGACCAGTGTAGGAACATGGTGAAACCCCATCTCTACCAAAAATACAAAAATTAGCTGGGCATGGTGGCGCAAGCCTATAGTTGCAGCTACTTGGGAGGCTGACGTGGGAGGATTGCTTGAGCCTGGGAGGCGGAGGTTGCAGTGAGCTGAGAGTGTACCACTGCACTCCAGCTTGGGTGATAGAGTGAGACCCTGTCTCAAAAAAACGAAACAATGGGCCACATCCAGAGTTGGTGATTGTTCAGCAGGTATTGGTTGGTGGAAGAATCTACAATATTAGTGACAAAATCATTAAGATAGCTGAACCGTGGGATCAAGATTATGAAATTAAGTGAGTAACAGGTGGCTGCTGGTTTATGGGACTAGGTCAAGACAGATTAAAGAGCATGGTGAGTATCAAAAGTGATTTGTTTGCTATGAAGATTACAGTCAGAATGGAATTTTGGAGTTGAAGAACTAGAAGCCAGCAGAGTTCTGAGTAATGACAAAGGCCAAAGTGTAGTCATTTTATTGTGTGCCTGAGGTTGAGGGGAGAGGAAACTCCTGAGAGTGGACAGATTAGAACTGTGAAGGCAGGGTGGGGGAAGACTCAGTGGACCGTGAGATAGTTTAGTAAATGAGATAGATGGACACGGGGACTGTGAGCCAAAGGCAGAAGAGATGGAGAAAAGTGGAAGTCAACCTTGAAAGTAACTAGAAGATTAAGCCTAAAAAGAGGATAATCAGGTTTCCTGAGGAAAGAATGGGATAGACTCCAGAGAGGTTCAAGATGTGTAATCAATATAGTGACTAAGTGTAGATTTGGGAAGCAGAGGAATTCTCAGACTTCTCTTTCGAGTGAATGAGTAGGTGGAGGGTGATACTATTTCTTAAGTTAGAGAATGTGGGAAGCAGAGCAGGAGTCCACTTTTGGATGTGTGGAGTGTGCTATACCCAGAAAACATGCATGTCTAAATTTTTGGCAAACAGTGGGATATGTAGATCTGTTCTCAAAAGTGTGGGTCCTGGTGGAGATGCAAATTTGAGAGTTATTGGAGTCTCACGGTAATTGAAGCTATGGGTGTAGTAAGAATTATCTAGTGAAATTATGTAGACTGGAAAGAGAGGAGACCCAGAGTCAGATGCTAGGGAAGTTGGTATTTAAGGGACAGGTGGAAGAAGACGGTTTCTGAAAGGAACTGAGGAGCCACCAAGGAGGAAAACCAGGAGGTAAAGAAAGAAGGAATGGTTAGCTTTGTTCAGGTGTGTGAACAAGCAGGTCATTTAAATACTCTTGGCCCAGTTTTCTTATCCTTAAAACTCCTTTTGTATACTCCTACTTTTGTAGGTCGCGCCACTGCACTCCTACTTTTGTAGGAGTATACAAAATTTGTTAGAATTCTAATGAGACAAAATTGTGAATTATGTTTGTTCTTCACGAGGATCTTCTAGTTTTTCAAATACACTTCTAATCTTGGCAAAATCCTTAAAAAGATAAATTGTCTATGTATTTTTGACCAAGACAAGATACATCTAGCTGTAAGAAAATTTAGTCCTACTACTTGTAAAGATTAAGAAAACATTCCCTCCTAATTCAGGTTATAGCTTGGCTTTATATTACAGATGACATTCCGTTCATTCTAAGTTTGCTACTTACAATTTCAGTTATCTGCTATGTTGATATTACTTAATAAGCATGCATATTTTAGTTCTCACTGCCAGTTTTCTGCTAGTGATAATTTCTTTTTTTTTTTTTTTTTTTGAGACGGAGTCTTGCTGTGTTGCCCAGGCTGGAGTGCAGTGGCCGGATCTCAGCTCACTGCAAGCTCTGCCTCCCGGGTTTTTACGCCATTCTCCTGCCTCAGCCTCCCGAGTAGCCGGGACTACAGGCGCCCGCCACCTCGCCCGGCTATTTTTTTGTATTTTTTAGTAGAGACGGGGTTTCACCGTGTTAGCCACGATGGTCTCGAACTCCTGACCTCGTGATCCGCCCGTCTCAGCCTCCCAAAGTGCTGGGATTACAGGCTTGAGCCACCGCGCCCGGCCGCTAGTGATAATTTCTTGAGCTCATAATAGTGAACACCACAGGCACATTCAGCATTTTTTTTTTTTTTTTTGAGATGGAGTTTCACTCTTGTTGCCCAGGCTGGAGTGCAGTGGCACGATCTCGGCTCACCGCAACTCTGCCTCCCGGGTTCAAGCGATTCTCCTGCCTCAGCCTCCCAAGTAGCTGGGATTACAGGTGCCCGCCACCACGCCCAGCTAATTTTTTTGTATTTTTAGTAGAGAGGGGGGTTTTACCATGTTGGCCAGGCTTGGTCTCGAACTCCCAATCTCAGGTGATCCACCAGCCTCTGCCTTCCAAAGTGTTGGGATTACAGGCATGAGCCACCGTACCCGGCCATATTCAGCTTTTAAACTTGCCAAAGTCTTATCCCCATCTAGTGGACAAACATATTAAACCTGGGCATATATGCCAAGCATGCAAGCATATAAAACTTGTTTGATAACCATGTCTTGTTGAGGTTTTTAGGAATGCATTGTTTAGTTAAAGATCAGGGTGGATATTTACATATTGATGGAGAAAATATTTTATCAATATGTATTATGAACTGCAGCACACTTTATAACCAAAAGGCTAACCTGGAATATTTAATTCTAAGACATGGTTTTGTTTCTTCTTAATTTTTTAAGACACTCATTCTTTTTAGGTGGCAAGAAAAGAAGTATTGCTTTCAGGCGCCAGCGTATGCAAATTGATGAACCGGTTCCTCCCTCTGAAGTCAGTTCATATCCGGTTCCTCAACCAGATGACCCTTACATTGCAGACCTCCTACAAGTGGCTGATAACAGGTGCATTAAATAATTCTTTCTTGGCTTGAGTTAATTGAGCACTCAGTTAGCTCTAAGTTTCTTGATAGGAGGGCTTTTTGTCTTGTTAACTGTTGTCTCTCCAGTGTCTAGCACAGAACTTTGCACAGGCACTCGGTAAATACTTTCAGATTGATATAAAATGTTTTTACTTGTTTTGAAACTTTGATCAAGTAGATCGTATATCTAAGGTTTCTGTTCACACTGGTTTAAAAATAGTTTAGTGCCATCAAGAACCTGTTTAAGTAGAGCTGCTTTGACATTTTGTGTCATCTCCAAGTAAGAGGTATCCTTTTTGCAGGAGTCTTTATTACTTCAGATTTATGTCAACTGCCAGTTAAATATGAAGAGATTTGTAACTGGATTTGAAATTCCTTTTTAATGGTTTCTCTAGCTCTGTGTTTATATTTCCTTACATTTGAATTATATATAAATTCCATTTGATTGAAACGTTATTAAACCTCCTGGGCAAGGCACTGTGTAAGTGTTCTGAGGATATAAAGATGAAGAAGATGGTGTTTCTGCTTTTGAGAAGTTTGTGGTCCAGTACTACAGATGAGACGAGAAATTCACAAAGCATCATTAAGAAAATTCTAAGAGGCTCAAATTATAAATTCACAAAACACCATTAAGAAAATTATAAGAGACTCAGCCGGGCGCGGTGGCTCAAGCCTGTAATCCCAGCACTTTGGGAGGCCGAGACGGGCGGATCACAAGGTCAGGAGATGGAGACCATCCTGGCTAACACGGTGAAACCCCGTCTCTACTAAAAAATACAAAAAACTAGCCAGGCATGGTGGCGGGCGCCTGTAGTCCAAGCTACTCAGGAGGCTGAGGCAGGAGAATGGCATGAACCCGGGAGGCAGAGCTTGCAGTGAGCCGAGGTCGCGCCACTGCACTCCAGCCTGAGCGACAGAGCGAGACTCCATCTGGAAAAAAAAAAAAAAAGAAAAAGAAAATTATAAGAGACTCAAAGGATGAGCACTAGTCTCCATGATAATAGCTGGAGAAGCATTTCAAAGTATAGAATACACTAATGGAAATAGTTCATGCAGGTAGCTTTTTATTTTTTAGATTATGCAGAGAATGTGGGGGATTTTATTAATCTCAGTTGATCAATCTAAAAGAGATCACTGGGACCAGGTGCAGTGGCTCACACCTGTTAATCCCAGCACTTTGGGAGGCCGAGGCAGGAGGATTGCTTGAATCCATGATTTGAGACCAGCCTGGGCAATATAGTGAGACCTTGTCTCTACAAAAAAAAATAAAAATTAACCAAGCATGGTGGCATGCACCTGTAGTCCCAGCTACTGAGGAGGCTGAGGTAGGCAGATTGCTTGAACCTAGGAGGCAGAGGTTGCAATGAGCTGAGATTGAACCACTGCACTCCAGCCAGGGACACAGAGCAAGACCCTTTGAGCTACTGATTAGGATCTCTTCACTCAATTGTCACACAATATTTTTATATAGTTATTTGACCTTAACTGGGAAGTGTTTTGTTTTTATAATCTAGGACTTTTCAGACAATGTGTTAGTATTATTTAGGGAATTATTTGGGGTGCATAAGTGACATTCGTCTCTTTTAATTGTCCTATTTAATTTATATATGCACATTTTGTTTGTATTCAGAGTCATTCATGCATTTATATGAGTGCAGCTGCATGCATACTCTTCTCCTAAACCTAGATTAGTAGAAAATGTTGGTTCCAGTTAACATCAAGTACAAGCCGTATCCAGCCTCATTTACTCCACCCCATGGAAAATCTCTTTTAAAAACAGACCTGGGGCTGGAAGCACTGTGGCTCACGCCTGTAATCCCAACATTTCGGTAGGCCGAGGCAGGAGGATTGCTTAAGCCCAGGAGTTCAAGACCGGCTTCGGCAATGTGGAAAAACTCTCTCTCTACAAAAAATTTTAAGATTACCCAGGTGTGGTGGCATGTGCCTATGGTCCCAGGTACTTGGGAGGCTGAGGTGGGAGGATTGATGGAGCTGTGGAGGTTGAGGCTACAGTGAGCTGTGATCGGGCCACTGGATTCTAGCCTGGGAAACAAAGGAAGGCCCTGACTCAAAAAAGAGAAAAAAGCAGACCTGGCTTCAGGCTTTGTCTTTCCAATATGAAAATAGATTATGTCATAATGTACCTGAACAATTCAGGTAATTTGGACAAAATCTTGATTCTGTTAGAATTAACAAGTTCCAGAAGGAATAGGTTTTTTGCTGTAGTTACATATGATCTTTCTCTCCAGAGTTTCAAAGTAGTATTAGACAATACAGGGTTAGGGGCAGAAAACACATTTTAGTTTCTTATTTCACTTACTAAGCCTGTGAATTTTGGAGTAAACCTGAGTTTTCTAAACCTAAGAATTGGCAGCAGTACCTCAAAGAATTTTCCTGGGGATCAAAATGCAGTAGTGAGGTGTTTCTTGCACAGTGTATCTGAGTTACAAATTATTTTCTACTCAGTTTTAAATCTGTTCTTACAAACCAACTCTCCATGATGATGTACTGTATTTTTTGTTGATTTGGGGACCCTTTGGCACAGTACATCCTACCTCTTTGAGAAGCTGAAAGTATAGAATTTATGAAATAACACATCTAGCTTCGTTTCTTATTTTGTATTTCTTAACAAAAGTATATTGGCATTAATTTAAAGTGCTTTTCAGGATTCAAGAACTTCAACAGGAAGTCCACCAGCTACAAGAAAAGTTAGCAGTGATGGAAAGTGGGGTGAGCGATTATAGCAAGCAGGTAGGATTTTTATTTACTTGCATAGTAGAGATTGAGATAGGTATGCTGTGATTGTAAATAGAATTGGGTTATATTTGAAATTACTGATACTGAGTTTTTATATAGCTTTTATCTTTTTCATCAGGTTTGTTAATAGAGTTAATAGCTGGAATAGCTTAGGTGGCTTTACTTACTTAGTCTGTCTCTTCAAAAAATTTAAAAATTAGCCAAGTGTGGTGGCATGTGCCTATGGTCCAGGTACTTGGGAGGCTGAGGTCGGAGGATTGATGGATTGAAGAGCACTTATTTACTCCATTCCCTTCACTGTTCATTGAGGTGAATAGTAGTTTTTGTTTGGTTTTTCTTTTAGCTGAATCATTTATCTCCCCAAATATAATTTTATAACCATATTACTGTTTTCATTGAAGTGTGCTATGTTTTACAACTGTACTTTTGTGATTTTTTTTTTTTTTTTTTTTTTTTTTTGGAGACGGAGTCTTGCTCTGTCACCCAGGCTGGAGTGCAGTGGCTGGATCTCAGCTCACTGCAAGCTCCGCCTCCCGGGTTCATGCCATTCTCCTGCCTCAGCCTCCCGAGTAGCTGGGACTACAGGCGCCTGCCACCTCGCCCGGCTAAGTTTTTGTATTTTTAGTAGAGATGGGGTTTCACTGTGTTACCCAGGATGGTCTCGATCTCCTGACCTCGTGATCCGCCCGTCTCGGCCTCCCAAAGTGCTGGGATTACAGGCTTGAGCCACCGCGCCCGGCCCTTTTGTGATTTTTCTACTCTTTTTATAGATTTTGTCATATTGAACACCAGTCTCTTAGAAAGTTACTCTTTTGTGTTGCCATGTTTTTTTTTGTTTGTTTTCTCTACAAGCACTAGTCCTCATACAACAGTTTTCTGAAGAATCAGGAGAATTAGTAGATGCAGAGTTGTATTATAACCATAGCAAGCTTTGTCTTTTCATAATTTCTATTGATGTCTTGGCTAAATTCTGATTTGGGTAATTACTGGCTTGTTTTCTTAATATGCATCTTGAGGTTAAATTGGGTAACACGTTTTTCATTTTCTGCATTGACTGCATTTTTTTTTTTTTTTTTTTTTTTTGAGACGGAGTGCTGTGTCGCCCAGGCTGGAGTGCAGTGGCCGGATCTCGGCTCACTGCAAGCTCCGCCTCCCGGGTTTACGCCATTCTCCTGCCTCAGCCTCCTGAGTAGCTGGGACTACAGGCGCCCGCCACCTCGCCCGGCTAGTTTTTTGTATTTTTTAGTAGAGACGGGGTTTCACCGTGTTAGCCACGATGGTCTCGATCTCCTGACCTCGTGACCCGCCCGTCTCGGCCTCCCAAAGTGCTGGGATTACAGGCTTGAGCCACCGTGCCTGGCCTGCATTTTTTTTTTGGGTGATCTGCACACACAAATATAGATGTAACTTAGGTGTTGGTATGAATACGTCTTTAAAGTGTTTTGAAGATTAGTTGGATAAAAATGGAGTTAAAGAAAATCGACTAGGCGTGGTGGCTCATGCCTGTAATCCTAGCACTTTGAGAGGCCGAGGTGAGTGGATCACTTGAGGTCGGGAGTTGGCGGCCAGCCTGATCAACATGGAGAAACCCCATCTCTACTAAAAATACAAAATTAGCTGGGCGTGGTGGCGCATGCCTGTAATCCCAACTACTCGGGAGGCTGAGGAAGGAGAATCGCTTGACCCTGGGAGGCAGAGGTTGTGGTGAGCTGAGATCATGCCATTGCACTCCAGCCTGGGCAACAAGAGCGAAAACTTGGTCTAAAAAAAAAAAAAAAAAAAAAAAAAAAAATTCCATCTTCTGAGAATGTCACCTTGTCTCAACTTTCTATCTCTACCTTTAAAATTAGCCATATTTGCACTCAGGCTGTCTTAAAATTTAGGGGGCAGGGTATTGTTCATCCTGTTTAAGGCTGAGTTGCCTGTGCTCTTGACCCCATTTCCTCTTTTTTCCTTAGGACCTTACTTTAATCAATTATTCTTTTTTCTTTAATAAGTACTTGCATAACCACTTTACAACGATTAATTTAATCTTCATAACAATCCTGTGAAGACATACTTCTATTGTCATAGCGAACATCCCTTTTCAAAAACTCTTTTTTTTTTAAATGGAGTCTCGCTCTGTCGCCCAGTCTGGAGTGCAGTGGCATGATCTCGGCTCATTGCAAGCTCTGCCTCGTGGGTTCATGCCATTCTCCTGCCTCAGCCTCCTGAGTAGCTGGGACTACAGGCACCCACTACCGCGCCTGGCTAATTTTTTGTTATTTTTTAGTAGAGACGGGGTTTCACCGTGTTAGCCAGAATGGTATCGATCTCCTGACCTCATGATCCTCCCACCTCGGCCTCCCAAAGTGCTGGGATTACAGGTGTGAGCCACCGCGCCCGGCCAAAAAACTCTTTTAACTACCTGTTCCTCTTGAGGATTCCTTCTCCCTCTCTACGCATACTTCTCCAAAGACTGTCTTACTTGATAGCTCCATTTCTGTCTCTGCTTCTCCACCTCCTGCTCACTCCTTAACCTATTGTAGTCTGTCTTCTGCACTCACTACGTGAACTAGTCTAGTTAATTATATCAGTAGCATTAATTGCTAGATCCAAAAGGATACTTAAGAGTCTGTTTTCTTGACCTACTCTGTGGTAGTTGGTAGTATTGATAATTGCTCTTTGAAACTTTTCCATGACGTTCCAGTTTTCTTTTTTTTAAGCCTATTATAATTTTTTTTTTGCTTTGTTTCACCTGTCCACTCCCTGAAATATTACTGTTTTCCTGAATTCTGTCTTTGACCTTTCTTCTCTTCCGTATCTTTTCTCAAGTGTCCTCATCGCTCTCTTGGTTTAAAATATTGCCTGTGTATTGATGACTCTTCCATCTCTCTCTGGCTCAAACTTCTCTGCTGAACTCCACACCCATATACCCACCTTCACACTGGGCATTTCCACTTGAATGTAGTCTTTTTGTACTCATATGCCTTGTACTGGACTTGTTCTCTTCTGGTTTCAACTCCTATATTCTCTACTTTGGTTTGTAGCATCAACGTTTGCCCAACTGCACATTCTGTAGTCTTTCTAGATCTCTTTCTTTTGCCTTCACGTACCACTCACCAAGTTCTGTCATTTCTACTGGCTAAGTGCTTCTTAAACTTATTTCTTCTGTTCTATCCTCTACCACTGTTTTATTTTAGTCATTAATTGTTTCTTATGCATTCCTGCATTAGGTTTCCTTGCCTCTGTTTTTATTCCTGTCAATTTCATCCTTTAGTGCAGGATAATCATAATGAGTTTCATCCTAATTCTTCAGACATCCCCAACTACTAGATCCCATGCACATTACATCCAGTCATACCAAGCTATTTCTGCTGTCTCAAACATTCCATATTCTTGTTACTTTTTGGTATGTTTGGGGTGTTTGGTTATTTATTTATTTTAAGAAAACCAAAGCTTGGGCAAGGAGCAGTGGCTCACGCCTATAATCCCAGCACTTTAGGAGGCTGATTTGGGCAGATCACCCAAGGTCAGGAGTTCAAGACCAGCCTGGCCAACATGGTAAAACCCCATCTCTACTAAAAATACAAAAATTAGCTAGGCATGGTGGCACATGCCTGTAGTCCCAGCTACTCAGGAGGCTGAGGCAGGAGAATCACTCGAACCCGGGAGGCAGAGGTTGCAGTGACCCGAGATCATGCCACTGCACTCCAGACTGGGTGACAGAGTGAAACTCCGTCTCAAGAAGAAAAAAAAAAAGAAAGCAAAGCTTGAAAGTGTGAGCTTTTCCAAATTCTTACATAAATAACAGATAATTAAATTCACCCCAGTTTCCTATTCTTTCTAATATTGAGGTTCAGTAGCAACTTACTTTTCTTAGTGTGTTACACTCATTTATTTATTCTACTAGGGACTGAAGTAGTTTTGATTCAGTTCTAGTACTTGAGCATGTGTGTAATCTGCTAACAAGTTTGTTTTTATATAAACATTGTTAAATCTTAAAAGAGGGAAAAAAATACAAAAATTAAATAAGGAAGAATCTGTAGTAAAAATACATATGAAAGATATATTGACAGTATGTCTGTTGACATTTTTTATATAATTTATTTTTGTTCTGCATTTATGCATATAATATATCACACAAATATAAGTGTTAATCTCTTGTATACATTGGGACGAAAGAAAATATGTCCAAATAAATGTTTGTTCAGTGTTAATCATTTGGCTGAAAACCAGATTTTTTAAAATGACAGCATGTCTTTGTATCTTCAGATTGAGCTAAGAGAACGAGAGATAGAACGACTGTCAGTTGCTTTGGATGGTGGTCGGTCCCCTGATGTCCTCTCTCTGGAGTCTAGAAATAAAACCAATGAAAAGCTTATTGCTCATTTAAATATTCAGGTAATGGCTTTTATAATTATTTCACTGAGTGTATATAATGGTGTTTATAATAAACACTATATGTTTATAATGGTCTACGGGTTTGTAAAAGTGGCAGGAGTTGTTCACTGAGGTATTATTTGCAATGGGAAAAATTTGATAGAATCATAGTATCCAGAAATAGGGTGGAGTTATTGAAAAATCATGTTTCTAAAGACCATTGAATGAGGAGTAATTAACATACACCATAACATTAACAATTTAAAGGAAGAGAATAAACTCTGGGCACATGATTGTCAATTTGCTTTTAAGAAAATGTGTATATGGACTTGGAAAGAGAAAACAAAGAGAATGTACCAAAGTATACTAACAAAGCTTATCTTTGTGTGGTGGAATATTCTCCTTTATGGTTTTCTCTTTTTTTAAAAAAAAAATTTCGTGAGTATATTTTTATAACCTAAAAAATTAAAAATGTATATAAAAATTAAATATCTAGCTTTTAGCTACTTACGTAGTGGATTCCTTTGGCATGCATTTGACCTAAGGCTGAAAGAGCAGGAGAGTTCCATATAGCATGACACATGAACTTTAGAAATTTTGGTATGACAGAGCTGCTTGGGCTACAAACAGAATATAGTAGGTAAAAAATATCAACAGTAGCTCTAGAGGAGTGCTGTCCCATACAAATATGATATGAGCCATAAATGTAATTTAAATTTTTCTAGTAGCAGCTCGATTTAAAAAAATAAAAAGGTGAAATTAATTGTAATAATGTGTTTACCCCAATATGTCCAAAATATTGTCATTTCAACCAGTAATGTTTTTACATACCTATTTTTTTCTTTGTATTATCTTTGAAATCCTGTGTATATTTTATAGTTATAGCACATCTCAGTTTACACTAGCCACATTTCAGATGTTCAGTAGCCACATGCGGTTGCTAGTGGCTACTATATTGAACAACACATTCTATTATCATCATGATATTCTTGTCATATAGAACTCTGTACTGGGAAAAAGTTCACACAAGTTTCTTGTCCTTTCTGTGCTTGAAAATCAAAGCCAATGGATATGTACTTTCATTACACTTCACATGGTCAGTTTTGTAAATAACAATATAAATTTGCAAATATAGAATAGCTGTAGTTTTAATCTTCAATAAGTTTTAAAATACAGTTTTTTGAAATATTATTTGGAAAGTCAGTGTTTAGGATAATTTTCCAATTCATATACCTCATAAATTACAACTCCAATTCAGGTTGACTTTCTTCAGCAAGCTAATAAAGACCTGGAGAAGCGTATACGAGAGCTTATGGAAACCAAGGAAACGGTGACATCTGAAGTTGTTAATTTAAGTAACAAAAATGAAAAACTCTGCCAAGAATTAACTGAAATAGATCAGTTAGCACAGCAGTTGGAAAGACATAAAGAAGAAGTGCTTGAGACTGCTGATAAAGAACTTGGGGAAGCAAAGGTAATGAATGATATGTGTGGGTTGTGAGAGTGTTCATTAATTCTCCAACACACAGTGAGCTTGAGCCCTTTTGATATCTGCAATTCAGGTTTTTGGTTTGTGTGTCTGTTTTTGTTTTTTTGCTTTGGTAATGCAGGATTTTCTGAAGTGTTGTTTACACCTGTAAATGATTGTATTTGTTTTAGTTGTTTGAATGTCTCTCTGAAGCACACCTATTCTTAGGATGGATCTCCAAGGACTTGTTTTCCTTCAAGATTTTTATCTCTGCCTCTTTGTGCATTGTGAGAGAGCTTTTGAAGTTTCCCCTCTATGTCATTTTTGCTCTATAATCCTTTTTTTTTTTTTTTTTTTTTTGAGACAGAATCTCTGTCTCCCAGGCTGGAGTGCAGTGGTGTGATCTCGGCTCACTGCAACCTCCGTCTCCCAGGTTCAAGCAGTTCTCCTGCCTCAGCCTCCAAATAGCTGGAATTACAGGTGCTCGCCATGCCCAGCTAATTTTTGTACTTTTTTTTGTACTTTTCGTACAGATGGGGTTTCACCATGTGGGCCAGCCTGGTTGAACTCCTGACCTCAGGTGATCCATCCACCTCAGCCTCCCAAAATTCTGGGATTACAGGCGTGAGCCACTGCACTCAGCTTGTGGTTTTTGAGACATGGTCTTGCTCCGTTGCCCAGGCTGGAGTGTGGTGGGACAATCATAGCTTGCTGCAGCCTCAACCTCCTCAGGCTCAAGCAATCCTCCCATCTCAGCCTCCTGAGTAGCTGGGACTGCAGGTGCATGCCACAAGGCCCAGCTAATTTTTTAATTTTTTGCAGAGACGGGATCTCACTCTGTTGCCCAGGTTCGTCTCAAACTCCTGGGTTAAGCAATCCTCCTGCCTCAGCCTCCCTAAGTGCTCAGATTACAGGCATGAGCAGCCATGCCTGGCCACCAAGAATTCTTTAAAAGTGTTTTTAAAACTATGTATGTCCTTGTACATTTTTAAGTTGGTAATTATAATAACGTTTTTCATCTTTTAAGTTTAAATGGAAAGGGTGATATTTCCAGTCTATTTTAAATACAATGTCTTAAAATAAAACTATTTCATTGTTCTTTTAATTATAGCCAGTAAAATCTAAATGATCCTTTCTCTTTGAAATTTCCACAGAATTTTATCCTATTTCAACCAGTTTTATGCTTGAAAACCTTTTCGTGATCACACTATCATACATCTGTACAATAAAAAGAACAAATTTAAAAAGAATGATTTTTTTTTATTTAAAAAATTTCTGACAGCCTATCTGATGGGAAAACAAAAGTTTTTTATTTTTAAAAATTTCCTGTAACTGTTAAGGTTCAAGGTGTTAACATTTTTATCTGAAATAGTGTTATTGTTACAATTTTTAATTATCAGTGGGTTAAAGTGACAAATACACCACAAATGTTGATATTTATGAAATAAAAAAGTAAAATTGTATTGGAAATACATCTCTTAATGGGAGATAATAGGAGAAAATAGTGTCTTATTTAAAGCCTTTGGCCAGCCCCAACATTTCAGATTATCTTTTGATCTGGTACTCCAAAAGTTTTTTGTATCTTGAGACAGTGCACTATTGAGGTATAAATGAGATACATGCCCTTCTTTGAACATTGAGAGAAAGGCAGCTATAAAAGGGAGGGTAGGAATGCAGAACTCACATGGTAGCCGGGCCACAAACAAGTTATTAGGTAGATCATTTTTAAGAAGCACTGAATATGCAAATTAAGGATTCAGATGCTGATTCCTTAGAACTATGTGCATACCATAGTTTTATATAATACTTGGAAAGTGTTCATTTTATCCCAGGAGTAAGTATAATCCAGTTTGAAGACCACTGCTCTACATCACCGAATTAATTTTATACAGTGCCATCTCTACTAATTAGTGGAATAAAAGGAAATTACCTCAGTATTTTAAAAACCATGTATGAAAGGCCCACAGCAGACAATCATACTCAGTGGTAAAAAACTGGAAGCTTTTCCTCTAAGATGAAGAACAGGAAAGGATTCCCACTCTTGTCACTACTACTCAACATAGTACTAGAAGTCCTAGCCAGAGCAGCTAGGCAAGGAAAGGCGTACAAATTGCAAAGAAAGAGTAAAATTATCTCTGTTTACAGATAACATAATTTTACATGTAGAAAGCCTTCAACATTCCACAAAAATCAGACCTAATAAACTAATTCAGCAGAATTGCAGAGTAGAAAATCAGCACACAAAAATCAGATGTTTTTCTATACACTAAGAATAAACTATCCAAAAAGGAAATTAAGAAAGTAATCCCATCTGCAATAGCATCAAAAGGAATAAAATACTTAGAAATAAACTTAACCAATGAGATGAAAAACCGTTACACTTGAAAAACTATACAGCATTGCTAAAGAAGTTAAAGAAGACACAAATAAATAGAAAGACATTCCGTGTCCATGGATTGCAAGACTCAGTATTGTTAAAGTGTCCATGCAACTCAAAATCAGTGCAATCCCTATCAAAATCCCAGTGGTGGTTTTTTTTTGTTTGTTTGTTTTTTTGCAAAAATAGAAAAAACTTCTTTCTAAAATGTGTATGGAATCTCAAAGGACCCCAGGCCACCAACACAATCTTGAAAAAGGATATAATGAGCACAGTTTTAATTCTGTTTTTGTGGTTTTAGTTTCATTGCAACACTCCTGTATCTCATCCCTGTCTTTTTCCACCACCTTTTGCATCTTCTATCCTTGTGCACACAGCATGCTAAACACAGCTTTCCATTGTCACATTGCAAATGCTCAGAAATGACAAGTTGGCTCAACAAAATATTCCTATTGGATCATAATATTTTGATCTTGGCATTCGGCTCTCTATAGAGAGGATCCAGGTTGGTAAAAGCAGGGGTGGAGAAAGCCAATAGGATAGGAAGATCAGGAAATGACAGTGCCATAGGATTGCCCCCAAATTTAAGGCCCAAGGAAGATCCTACAAGACGTTCAAGTTGCCTTCTTCAGATGTTACTAGTAGGCTCCTGTAAACATTTCGGGATACCAAAAGGTTAAAGAGAAGCTCAATTTTGCCTCTTCATTGAAATGGATGGAGATGAAGCCTCAGATCTCAGTGGTAAGAGGGAATGTGAAGTACTTGCAAAATTACTTCATCTATTTGCATGTGACTTAGTGATAAGTATTCTTAGACTTTTAAGTATATACCTAATAGGCTTTTTATTCCTAGAAAGAGATTAAAAGAAAGCTGTCTGAAATGCAGGATCTTGAAGAAACAATGGCAAAACTTCAACTGGTAAGTTGACGTCATATTGAATTGCCAGCATTTTCAGTAAGAAAATTTTTATGGGAGGCTGGGAGGCTGAGATGTGTGGATCACCCAAGGTCAGGAGTTCGAGGCCATCCAGCCTGATCAACATGGTGAACCCCGTCTCTACTAAAAATGCAAAACTTAGCTGGGTGTGGTGGCGCATGCCTGTAATCCCAGCTACTTGGGAGGCTGAGGCAGGAGAATTGCTTGAACCTGGGAGGCAGAAGTTGCAGTGAGTCAAGGTTGCGCCATTGCACTCCAGCCTGGGCAACAAGAGCGAAACTCTGTCTTTAAAAAAAAAAAAAGAAAGGAAAAGAAAATATGTATGCTTTATTTTATTGCTCAGCTCCTGACAACCACTGATCTACTTTCTGTTTCTGTAGATTTGTCTATTCTGGCCATTCCATATAAAGGGAATCATATATTTTGTGTCTGGATTCTTTTCCTAAGCAAAATGTTTACCAGGTTCATGCATGTGGTAGCATTTATGAGTACTTCATTCCTTCTTATGTCTGAGTAATATTCCACTGCATGGACATGCAAGTTTATATTTTTATAATTCCTTAATCTTATGTATAGTAGGTAGCTGTTAGAAATTTTACCTTCTTTTTACTACCTTATGACTTGTGAGTTGACTAATATTAAAACCAGAAGTTAATTACTTGAAATATTTGTTGATTAACTTAAAATATTTGTTGATTATTACAAAAGGTACTCCATCCTCTTTTATTTATTTATTTATTAGAGACAGGGTCTTCCCTTGTCACCTAGGCTGGAGTGCAATGGCATGATCATAGCTCACTGCAGCCTTGACCCCCTGTGCTCAGGTGATCCTCCCACCTCAGCCTTTTGTGTAGTTTAAGACTACAGGCATGTGCCACCATGCCTAGCATTTTTTTTTTCTTTTTTTGTAGTAGAAATGAGGTCTTGCTATGTTGCCCAGGATGGTCTCAAACTCCTGAACTCAAGTGATTCTCCCGCCCCAGTCTCCTAAAGTGCTAGGACTACAGGCATGAGCCACTGCACCCAGCTCAGTCCTCTTTTAATAGCTTTGTTTGGTAATACAAACCATTTTCCTGGTCACATTTCTTGTTCTGGTAGTCTTCAAATAACAAAGGAAGTAATCATCCCAACAGAAACCTAAATATAGCATACAGAAAAGCATATGGTCCTATAGTCTGGAACTAGCAGAAAGAGTGTCTTGCTTATAAGGTAGAAACCGGGTAGTCACCCAAATGATTGAGGATTTTTAAAAATAACCTGTTGAATTAGAAGAGTTTTCTCTAAGATTGGAAACAAAGGTAAATACTAATTTCCAAGTTCTTTCATTATATATACTTTTTATACAGTCTAGCTGCAGTGTCCTGATGGCATAAGTCAATTAAAAAGGAAGCGTGAGAGCAAGGGATTTTTGCCGTTTGTTCACTGCTAGTTGTATGTGCACTAAATGTTGGATGTGATTAATAATACTTGTCTCAGAACTGTGACCAAGTTTTAGTAGTGTTGGCTGACAGTAAGATGTTGCCGTAGTTACTTTCTTACCATTCTTATTTTTTCCAGTAATGCAAGATTCTATGTATTTTTAAGATAAGAATGATAATATTGGGCCGGGTGTGGTGGCACAAGCCTGTAATCCCAGCACTTTGGGAGGCCGAGATGGGCGGATCACGAGGTCAGGAGATAGAGAGACGATCCCGGCTAACACGGTGAAACCCCGTCTCTACTAAAAAATACAAAAAAATAGCCGGGCGAGGTGGCGGGCGCCTGTAGTCCCAGCTACTCGGGAGGCTGAGGCAGGAGAATGGCGTAAACCCGGGAGGCGGAGCTTGCAGTGAGCTGAGATCCGGCCACTGCACTCCAGCCTGGGTGACAGAGCAAGACTCCGTCTCAAAAAAAAAAAAAAAAAAAAAGAATGATAATATTGATAGCTAACATTTTTTAAGTACTTACCGTGGTGGACATGCTGGATACCATGTAAAGTACTTCGTAACCATAGATTCATCCTCGCCAGTGAATCCTTAGTGTCCTGGTCTTGTTATCCTTGTTGTGCATATGAGGCTGAGAGAATAACCAGTATAGTTATAGATACACTGTATGTGGTGGTCTTAGAAGACTTTGTCTTACTACTGCTTTCTTAAACATGAAAAAGTTTTATATTTTTTAATCATATAAATACATATTCATTTAGAAAAAAATAAGAATATGCTAAACTAAGTAGAAAATAATTCTCCCACCCACAAAGAAACATTGTTGATACGTGTTTTATGGTACTTTCAGCCACAAATGATAATTAAGTTTAATTGAAACCTTATATTTGACTAATTAAGTGTATGTACACACACATATATGTAAATTGCTGTTATATAAATATGCTTATAAAAATCTATTTTCCTTTTAAGTGCGATAGTATTTTATAAAGTTGTTAGAAATCTTAATTATAGTATTAAAATTTGCAGGAATTGAACTTATGCCATAAAGAAAAGGAGAGACTGAGTGATGAACTCCTTGTAAAATCAGACCTTGAAACTGTTGTTCATCAGCTTGAACAAGAAAAGCAAAGACTTAGCAAAAAAGTTGAAAGTTTTGTAGTTACAGGTAAGATGTCAAATTTTGATAGCTTAAAAAATGATTGTGATTTCCTCTTGATGTATTGTTTTTCTTAGTAGATAATCATTCATTCATTCATTCAATAAATATTTGTTGAGTGCTTACCATTAGTCAGAAACCATAGTAGGTACTGTAGATACAGTAGAAATCTCTCCCTCAAGGACCTTAGAATTTTTATGTTTGACTAGTTTATACAGGGAACCCTGCTTGAATATTTTGCAATAGAAATGTGTCCTCCTTTGAGACACACTAATAACAGAATTAAGTAAGACTAAAGGGAAGGCTATTTTGATAGTGGAAAATTGAAGTACAGAATCTTTTCAAGGAAATGCAGTTATATTATCTTAAAATACATACACATACACACACACACACAAATAGAAATAGGCTAACTTTCTGCAGGTAACAGTTCTAAATGACTTGGCATAAAGAACATAAGAATTCATTTGGCCGGGCACGGTGGCTCACACCTGTAATGCCAGCACTTTGGGAGGCTGAGGCAGGTGGGTCACCTGAGGTCGGGAGTTCAAGATCAGCCTGGCTAACATGGTGAAACCCCATCTCTACTAAAAATACAAAATTAACTGGGCATGGTGGCATGTGCCTGTAATCCCAGCTACTCGGGAGGCTGAGGCAAGAGAATCGTTTTAACCACGGAAGCGGAGGTTGCAGTGAGACTGTATCGTGCCACTGCACTCCAGCCTGGGTGGCAGAATGAGACTCCATCTCCAAAAAAAATAAAGAATTTATTCATTCATTAATTTGACCAATGTTTATGAATCATCTGCTGTGTGGGTGCCAGGCCCTGTTTTTGAGTGCTGGGGTATATAGTGGCAAACAAAATACATAAGGGCCCTGTCTTGCAGAGCCTTTTTTCTTGTTACGGAAACAAACTAGTGGCAGATAAGTGAAGAAGTTAATTTTAGTTGAAGTGAAGAAGTTAATTTTAGTTGATAAGAGATATTAAATTAGATTGGGGGGATGTGCTAGAGATTGAATGAAGTGCTGAATGACAAGACACCAGCAATATGAAGATCTGGGGTCTAGTTTTCTATGCAGAGGAAATGGCAAGTGCAGAAGCTTGGTGCCATCAAACTGTCTTAGGAAGTGAAAGGAAGCCAGTGTACTGTATTACGAAGAGTCTTTATCCTAGGCCCATGTGGATAATCTATTTAACCTCCTTTCTACTTATTAGCTGTGTAACTTGAGCATGTTATTTAAGCTCTCTGTGTCTCAGTTTCCCTATCTATGGGGCTAATGATGACACCTACCCTGAAAGGTTGTTGTGATAATTAAATGAGTTAATATGTTAAAGTGCTTAGAACCATGTATAAAAATTTAAAATAGGCTGGGTGCGATGGCTCATGCCTGTAATCTCAGCACTTTGGGAGGCTGAGGCGGGCGGATCACCTGAGGTCAGGAGTTCAAGACCAGCCTGACCCATGTGGAGAAACCCCATCTCTACTAAAAATAAAATAATTAGCTGGGCCTGGTGGTGGGTGCCTGTAATCCCAGCTACTCAGGAGGCTGAGGCAGGAGAATCGCTTGAACCTGGAGGCAGAGGTTGCAGTGAGCCAGGATCGCACCATTGTATTCCAGCCTGGGGAAAAATAGTGAAACTCCATCTCAAAAAATTTAAAAAAAAAAGTTTATATTTCTTTTGATAGCTATGTGTGGCCTATCATTTCAGCGTAATCTTTCAGCTGTCTCAAACTCTCTTGTTTCCCTGTGTTTTGGGTGCATCCCCCTGCCAGATACCCAGCCATGGATGAGCCAAACAATTTGCCTTCTACACTTTTACACATGGTCAGCTGTTTTGAGTGTGCACCAGGCACATTGAGAGCGCTGCAAATTAGATGGTCCTGAACCTCAGCAGGCTGCTCAGCTCTGTATGGAAATCTTACCCTTTTTCTCTTAGAGTTTGATCTTCCATTCTCCACGGGGGATATTTAAAATACTTTGCACTGTCAATAAACCCGTGAGTCCCATTTCCCACCTTCATCCTGAGTGGATGATCCTACCTCCGGTTTTCCTAGAGAAGGGAAGCCATGGCAGGGATTCACTCAGTCTTCTGGCCTCAGATTAAAAACCTGTGCATCTTGTTCCTTCCTGTTCAATGCAAGAATGTCCCTCTTATGAAGGACCAGTGGCTCCATCTATTCTGTGGGCCCTAACTTCTCTAATTTTAAAAGCCTTGCAAATTAGTGATCTCCTCTCCATAATTTTAATCTTTGTACTATTTTTTCCCATTGGCATTCAAACATGCTTACTCTTCACCCATTCCAATACAAAAACTTTGACCCATTCCTATGCAGCCACTCATTTCTTCTCTTCATAGCATCAGCATCTTGAAAGGTCATCCATACTTGCTGTTCTGCTTGATCATCCACTACCCCTTAGCTCCTCAGTCCACTCCAGTTGGCTTCTGTTGCCACCCCTTCAACAAAACTGCTCTTGTTAAAGTCATTTACCTCTGTTGTGCTAAATGCAGTGGCTGCTTTTCATTCATTTGCTTATTTGACTGCATTTAACCCAGTTGCCCATTCTTTCCCACTCTCCTACTTTCTTCTTCTCTGGTCATTCCTTCTTGGGGCAAATTTGCCAATTCATCCTCTAGTTTGCATTGTACACTATCCTTTTGTAACTTTTATCCTACTACAATTAGAATAGTTGTTCAGCCTTGGCTATGTTTTTTTATACTGTATCCTTAGCTGGTGCTGGGTATACAGTAAATGCTTAATACATATCTGTTGAACGAATGAAAGAAGAGATGAGAGTAAATCAAAATACATCAGGAAAATCATTGCATGCCTCAACAGTTGTAATGAACATAAATTAGGTTCAACTATATGAAATTGCCAGTATTTGGTTACTTTTGACTCATGAAGAGGCAATTTCTATGGTAACAGCTAATAATTATATTTATTTGAGTTATTTTGCTCTCTTTGTATATGTGTATACTGTATTAAATTCAAGCTTAATGTTAAATTTGTGCATGTTATGGTTGTTTATAGATATATTTTCTTTTAGTGCATTTTCAGGTCCTGGGAAAGTACTATGTGGTAATTTATTGCTTTATTTTGTAGTACTGAATAGTACCCATCTTATAATAAGACAAAAGCAGGGGACTTGGACCTATTGGACTTTATTTAAACTTTTAATTTTTGCTTTTTTTTTCCTTTTTTCCTCTCAATATTTACCTCTTCAATAGATTTGGTACTTACAGGTGTTATTTAGAACAGTTCATGATTTCTAGTGGCTTTCTTTCTAAAAGTTATTAATATAATTTACTTGACTAATCAACATTACGTATGCAACATTATTTTGAGAGTTAACCACTTTAATTTGCAGAAAGAGAACTTACTCTGGAAGTTGAGAGGATGAGACTAGAACATGGAATAAAACGTCGAGACAGGTCACCTTCTCGTTTAGATACATTTCTGAAAGGTATAGAAGAAGAACGAGATTATTATAAGAAAGAGCTAGAGAGACTCCAACATATAATACAGCGAAGATCTTGCTCTACAAATTATGGTGCACGTGAAAAAAATTCAATATTTAGGACACCAGAAAAGGTAATGTCCCTTTATAAGAGTAAGTGATAAGGCCAGAAAAGTATCTTTATGAATAAATTGTTCTGGTTTATTATTATATTAAATATAACTTTATTCATACGTGCTTTGAAAAAATCCTGATTTTGATTTTTGTTTTATTTTATGGCCTGTACTATAGGAACACTGCATTAATTAGGAAAATTACTTAAGAACAAACTATAACATATAGATGACTGGAAATTAAAGGGAAGGTTGAATAGCTGAGTTATAGAAGTGTAATGGCACCTGGGCTTCCAGGACTCCTATTAGACATTCCCTCTCTTTTTAGAATTTACTTTCTGTATCAGCTGCATTTTCTCTTTCATGGCAGAGTAGCTTTGTATGCATGGCAGGCAACATGGTTTCATGTCGTTTCCAGCCTTGGACCAGTTAGGAAAGTCTGTCACATTCTACTGACCAAGCATCTTCTCTATTAACCATGCTATGGGAGATAGATAGAAATGGCAAGTGATTGCTGGGCAAGTTGTTTTGTTTGTCCACCACAACCATATTTGTAAGCTGATGATCCAAAGATGTTCACTTTATGTCATTTTCTAATTGCATCTCCCATTGTATGTATTTAAAGTTGACCATGATTCATGAGAGATTAAAATCATGTGTCTCTATTTTAGGTCTCAATTATTTTTAGTGTTTTATGAGTATCATTTGAGTTCTTCAGATTTTTCTTCTTTTAAGCTTTGGAGTTCAGGAGTCTTGAAGGCTTATGTGACTTTACACTAGGTAAAATTAGGGGAAGTCTGGGAGTGGGGAGTACTCATTAAAACTCAAAACATTTTATTTCAGACTTGACCAAATTTACTAATTTTGTCATGTTTTTCCTGAAGATCTTGTGTCCATTGTCAAACAGTTTTGTCTTCTGATTAGACTTCATTTTTTAACCTCATAGGCTAATGGCTGAATTTTGATTTACAGTTGTCAGTATAAACACTATACTATGTTATCTATTATAAGAATAAGGCCAGGTGGGGTGGCTCACACCTGTAATTCCAGCACTTTGGGAAGCCAAGGTGGGAAGATCACTTGAGGCCAGGAGTTCGAGACCAGTCTGGTCAACACAACGAGACTACAATTTCTCATGAAGATTAAATGAGCTAATTTGTTGGTCTTATTTTTAATTGACAAATAGTATATATATTTATAGAGTATAGTTGGATGTTTTGATCTATGTATACATTATAGAAAGATTCAGTCAAACCAGTTAACATGTCTGTTTCCTCACCAACTTATTACTTTTTTGTGGTGAGAATGTTAATCTATTCTTTTAGCAATTTTGAAGTATACAATACATTATTATTAACTGGTCACCATTCAACACAATAGCTCGTTAATTGATCATGAAATAATTTGTATAAGGACCCAGCATAACACCTAGTTACCGGTGAATGGTTTATTTCCTTATTATTTGCTGGTTCAAAGCAAATCAGTTCTGGTAGAAAGTTAGGGTCACTTCAGAAGATAAATACTGAGTGCCTGCTCTGAATGAGGCATAGAATACAGAGATGAAGAAGACAGTTCCTGCCCTTACAGCCTTCAGCATTGTGCATATGTGTGCATGTGCATGTGTGTGTTTAGGGGACAATGGAGTAGTGAAAGGGTGTTATTCACAATTATACATTAACACTAACAAATATGTACACCAGATATATTTAAAGAAGAGGAGAGTTTCTGCTTAGGAAAGTCAGTCAGTAAATGTTCAGGGAACTCATGTTTTACTGGGTACCATACTAGACACTGAAGACATAATTAAAAAGACCAGGTTCCTACTGTGGCCCTCATAGAGCTTAAATTTTAGTAGTACAGATAGATACACATTAAACGCACAATCGTGTAAATAACCTTATAACCTCATTTATAATGTGTTTATGAAGAAAGTACAGAAAAAGTTCAAAATATTTTAAGAATATATAGAGGAGATCCAAATTAGATTGAAGAATCTGAAGGAATTCCTTGGAGAAAGTGACATTTAAGCTGACACCTAAATAGTAATAAAAATAGATTGTCAAATCTTTATTTATTGAGCTCTCCTTTTCTAGACTCTGTACAGACTGCCTCTTTCTGGAAGATTATTTTGTTTTTGTTTGAGAGAAAGTCTCACACTGTCCCTCAGGCTGGAGCGCAGTAGTGTAATCGTAGCTCACTGTAACCTTGAACTCCTGGGCTGAAGTAATCCTCTTCCCTCAGCCTCCCAAGTAGCTAGGACTACAAGGGTGCGGCACTATGCCTGGCTAATTTTTTAATGTTTTGCAGAGGCAGGGTCTTGCTCTTTTGTCCGGGCTGGTCATGAACTCCTGGCCTCAAGCAGTCCTCCTGCCTTGGCCTCCCAGAGTGCTAGGATTACAAACGTGAACCACTACACCTGGTCCAGACTTCTTAAATTTAGATATGGTTAGGTTACATAGCTTCTTTTATAGTTACATTGGTTAAGTCCCAAAACATCTGCTTTTGTACTATAAAACGTCTTATCCTTTAAAGTGTTCAGATAACTAATCCCATCCATCATGCCTTGGTTTTGCTTATTTAACCAAGAGATTAATTATTTCCAAGTACAGGTGAGAGGTACCTCACAAATATCTATCATTTACCAAATCTACATTATATGTGGTATTGGCACAACAGATGTTGAATAATATAGGCCAGGACTCTTCAGTGTATCATATTGTCAAATTACCCCTTCTTGGCACTTCTGCATTTAGTACTGGTAACATTAAGATACCAGAGATCCCAAGTCTACATTTATTATGTTTCTTTTTTTTTCAATAGGAAAAGGGCATACAAATTCATTTACATGTGCAGGGGGAGAATCAGAGTGCTCTCATCTTTATTTTCTACCATAGTGATGACAGTGAATCTTTTGAATTGTACTGAATTGTAGGCATCTTTTAAATTGTACTAAATTGTAGAAACGTTGGTAGTAGTTGCTTATTCAGTGAATATTCTTAATATATATTGCCTGGTAGAAATATTTGCATTCATTCGACTGTATAAAAAGACCTCCTGTAGGTCTGAAGCTGAGACAGTTGGGGGTTTGTATGCCTGGCATATTGATCTTAGATTCAATCATAGAAAACACTGAGGCACGTGCTAGGCTGTTACAGTTACCTGTACTGGGTGAGCAGGCACACAAATGCCCTGCTGGCCCCTTCTCTGGAGAAGATAAACTAACTAGTGGCTCTGAAAAATTACCAGGCATCAGAATCACTTAGAGGGCTTGATAAAATACAGTTACTTGGCCCTACCCCGAAGTTTCTTGACTAAGTAGGTCTGGGTTGGGCTTCAAACTCCAAAATTTGCATATCTAACAAGCTTTTAGATACTGCTAATGCTTCTGGTCTGGGGATTATACTTTAAGTACCACTAGTATAAACAACTTTGGGAGAATAAAAGTTGAAGCATCTCATGGGATCCGATCAAGTCCCATCATTGGCACCTAAGTCTCTTCTGGGAACTTGAAGGCCAGGAAATTTGCCCAGTACTGCCAGTGCTCTCATCTGCTCTCATCATAGATTTTTAAAACTGTGTTCCTTAATTACATTAAAGGCACTTGTGTTCTTTTTGTCTGGTAGCATCTTTCAGTTAATCTCATCATCAGTATTCTTGTGACAACCATGTGGTGATGATTATAACATGATAACTTTTGTTTTTTAATTATGTTTCAGGGTGATTACAATTCAGAAATTCATCAGATCACAAGAGAAAGAGATGAACTTCAGCGTATGCTGGAAAGATTTGAAAAATATATGGAGGATATACAGTCAAATGTTAAATTACTGACAGCAGAAAGAGATAAACTAAGTGTCTTATATAATGAAGTAAGAAATTTATTATAATTAAGCCAACAGATTGTATAGAACCAGTTAACTATAATGGAGCCCGTATATATCCTTCACATTACTATAATATATGGACCTGTGATATTTCTTCATAATTAAAATTAGCAGTAGTAGTTTCTACTATCATTCTATTTCTAAAACACAGATTTCTCTTATTTTTTCATATTTATCCTTTCCCTTTTCTAGCCTATCAATGTGTCAGATCAGTTAGAGATAGTCTTCTTTTTCTAAAACTACCTGGAACAGGTCTCAGCCTGACTCTGAGCCAAATTTATGCTTGGAATTCAGACATGTGGGGAAATGTCTGTCAAAACAGTAGGTAGCACCCACTATTTGGATATATTGGCTATTTAGGACTTAGTCTCTAAATACTGTTCTCTAGGAAGAGGGAATTGGTATTCAGCTTGGCCACATTAACAAAGCCTCAGTTGTTAGAGGGCAAGGTAAGTCTGAGCAGAGCATGGTGTCTGTTACCTAAATTTGTTCACATACCCATCTCCCATGAAATCCTACTGCTATTTTGAGAAGGGGAGGAGGCATGCAAGTTAAAGGTCAAGTTGAAAGAGTCACTTACTGAGTTTTTTGGGGGGGGGATTCTGCAGTGTAAATTGATCCACTTCTGAGTTTTCCCCATCGCTAGCAGCTTTCTTGGGTCTGCCTAGTTAATTCCTGCTTGTCTGCTGTCTAGCTTCCACATTTTGTGGCTGGTGCCTCCCTCAATCCCCTTGTCTTTTTCGTTTTATTATTCTTACTATTATCCTTCTACTCTCATTATCCTTCTACTCTCATTCTTACTATTATCCTTCTACTCTCATTTTGTTGGGATTTGGGAAGAGAGTGAAGGTAGCATGTGTTCAGTATGCCTTTTTTAACTGAAAACATATCCAAAGTATTTTTTATTTATATCTTTTACCAAAGTGCCTTTTTAATTTATATCTTTTCATTCTTTAAGGCTCAAGAAGAATTATCTGCCCTAAGAAAGGAATCCACCCAAACCACAGCACCCCATAATATTGTTAGTCTTATGGAAAAGGAAAAAGAACTTGCGTTATCTGACTTAAGAAGAATTATGGCAGAAAAGGAAGCTTTAAGAGAAAAATTAGAGGTAAGAAGATTGACACGTTTTTGAAAAGTAATTTGTTGAGAAAAAGAGGTCTTTGTATGGATTTTCCTGTGAAGTTACTATTGGCCAAATCCAGACCACTTTGTTTATGTATGGCCTGTGAGCTAAGAATGGATTAAGAAGAAGATTTTCTTGTTGAGAAAACGTTATTGGATTACCTTGCTCATTTGTTTCTGTATTGTCTGTAGCTTCTTTTGTAGTATGGCCCACGAAACCCAACATATTTACTGTTTTTTACAGAGAAAGTTCACCAATCCCTGAACTTAATTGGAAGTTTCTCATATGGGAAGACATTATCTTTGTTTGTTTGTTTTTGTAACAGCTTTACGGAGATATTCACACACTATACAATTCACCCACTTAAAGTATACCAATTCATTCGTTTTAGCATAGATGCTTTTTGACTTACAATGGGATTACATTCCAATAAACCCATCGTAAGTAAAAAATGTACCTTGGAAAAAATGCATTTATTACCCCAGTAAACACATTGTAAAGTCTTACATTGAAAAATCTTAAGCCATTGTTAAGTCCACATGCTCCTCAACTTATACTGGGGTTACGTCCCGATAAACCCACAGCAAAGTCAAAAATGTAAACCAGGGACTGTCTGTATATTCATAGACTTGTGTAACCATCACCACAGTCAATTTTAGAGCATTTTCATCACCACAAAAAGAAACTCTGAAGAACATTAGCGTCACTCCCCATTTCTCCCATCCCCTCTTAGCCACAGGCAGCCACCTGTGTCTCTATGGCTCTGCCTACTCTGGATATTTCATATAAATTGAATCATTTGATATGTGATTTTAAAATGTCTTCTCTCATTAGCATAATGTTTTCAAGATTCATCCATAGTGTTGCTAGGAACTTATGTACAACTTTTTGTCTGGATATATATTTTCATTTCTCTTGGGTATATTCCTGGTCATACGGTAAGTCTGTCTTTAACCATTGAAGCCAAACTGTTTTTATACCCACCAGTAGTGAATAAAAGTTCTAATTTCTCCACACTGTCACCATTACTATCTGCCTTTTGTATTATAGTCATTCTGGTGGGTGTGAAGTAGTCTCCATTGTGACTTTGATTTGCATTGCCTTGGAGCTAATGAGGTTGAGCAACTTTTCATATTCTTATTGGCCATTTTTAAATCCTTTTTTAGAGAAATGTCTGTTCAGATTCTTTGCCAATTTTTAAATTGGGTTATCTCATTATTATTGAGTTGTAAGAGTTCTTTATATATTCTAAATACAGTCCCTTATTAGATATGTGATTTGCAAATACTTTCCCCCATTCCGTGGGTCATTTTTTCACTTTCTCAGTGATGTCTTTGAAAAACAAAATTTTTAAATTTGGATGAAGTCCAATTTATTTTTTTCTTTGTTGCTTGTACATTTGGTGCCATATCTAGGGTCAGTACTTTATAGTTTCTTTTATAATCTCCAAAAATATGTTTATTAATACATATAAAGCACTTAACAATGATTAGCACATAAGTACTAAATCCTAATATTATGGAGTCCATAGTTTAATTGCAGTCAATATTACTGAATTAATGCTTTGAAAGTAGCACCTAAAATTAGAAATAAAAACATTTAAGCATTATAAGCAAGTCTTTATGTCACAATGTTCAGTTAAAGTTTCACCCTAAATATAACAGTTTAAGAATACTTTTAATTGGAATCTTTTGGAATACTGCCTTCCAGAAAGTGTTTTCTTATAAAAATAAGTGTTAAAATTGCCAAATGGGAAACTTCTGTGCAGTATGGCAGCTTTTAGCGCAAGCTACTGACTTACCCTTTTCCATATCTTTTGAAATCACCAAAGAATGTAAAAATAGGATTTTTTAAATACAGTAGTACTGAAAACTTGGAAAAAGCAACATTCGTATTACCAGAATCCTTCTGGGTTGTAGGAGGCACGATTTTGTGAGTTTACAACAGATCTTTTACTTAAAAAAGTAACTTATCTCAATCCTTAAACCTTTTCCAGTGTTTCCCATTATTCCACTATCTAACCAGTTGTCGAATCCAAGCATCATCCATCACTAAGATCTCCCTGAAAGCTCATATCTCTCAATCACCAAGTCCTATCAGTGCTATCTCTTGAAAAATATTTAACATGTATTAAGCCCTTCTCATGTGAGAGGTCCTGTTCTATTAAGTGCTTTTTACATGGGTTGTCTCAGTAAATCTTCACAATAGCCTCTTTTTTTTTTTTTTTTTTTTTGAGGGGGAGTCTCGCTCACTGCAACCTCTGCCTCCCAGGTTCAAGCGATTTAGTAGAGAGAGGGTTTCATCATATTGGCTAGCTGGTCTCAAACCCCTGACCTCAGGTGGGGTCCACCTTGGCCTCCCAAAGTGCTGGAATTATAGGAATGAGCCACCACACCTGACCTATAATAATAGCTTTTTTAAATAGGTACTGCTTACAGATGAGGTCTCCGAGTTACAGTGAGTTTAAATAACTTGCCCAAGGTCATCCAGCTATGAGTTACAAGGAATCTGGCTTCTGAGCTCATGTTACTTTCTCTTGAATTTGTTTACTTCTTTCTGTTCCCCTGCTACCATCCTGTTCTGGTCATTGTTCTCCCTCACCTGCATTATTGTATTATTGGCCCCTGTACTAGTCTTTCCTCTTTTAAATCGATATTTCACACTGAAGTCAGAGTTATCTTTCAAAGATATAAATCTGATCATATCACTTCCTATTTAAAATCCGTTAACTTTTTGAGGACTTCAGTGATTGGCCTTCGCCTACCTCAAGGTCTAGCCTTTTTCCCCTAAACTCATCTCCCCTGTTCACAAGACTCCATGCTTAATGGACTTTTTCTTGCCGCCAGCCTTCTACATAGACTATTGAAAGATTCTGTCACATCTTCCGCTCTTCTTGTCTAGCTAATTCCTATTTATCCTTTAAGTCCAGGTCAAACATCATGTCATTTAATGGGAAATGAACCCTAGAATCTAGATTCCCTTTTGATATTTTGGCATAAAGTTCCTTTTCCTAGCAGAATATTCATGGATTTTATTTTGAGCTCTTATTTAGGTTTTGTCTTTTCTACTAAGCTACAGTATCTATGATGTCAGAGACTTTATCTGCTGTACTCACTACTATATTCCTGATATGTTGCTTGGTGCTTGGTATAGAGTATGTATTCAATACTAGTTGAGTGATTCAATAAATGCATACAATACAGTGACTCAACCAAATATATAATCCGAACATCAGATGTGTCTGTTTCTTTTTTAATGAATAACATGGATGGAAATATGAATCCATGCTAGAAAAACTCTCAGTGAACATTAAGTTATATTGCTTATCCTAGACTTAGCAGCAGTAAGTTGGATAAAGTAATGTAACCAGAAAAATAGTCCCTGTGTTTATACTGTTGACCAGCCCCTTATTGAAACTTGCATCTCTTGCATGGCCTTGTAGTATTCTGTTTCCTGTATCTTCCTGACCTTGTCTTCCTTTGCATTTTGTTTCTCTTACATCACCTCTTGTGAGGGCATACTCCTGAGCTTTTTATTTAACCTGCTAGTTTTGTCCTTTTATAGTTGTCCTATTATGGATTAATCTATATAAATCTTTATAAATGAATAGTTACTAATCTGTGTCTTCCACTACAATCACATATGGAGGTAGAGAGTGTAAAGGATGAGAACCTATTGTACCTTTTTTAAACCACAAACCATCATTTTTGTAAAATGTCTAGTGATTTTCTTTCTAAATTATTTCTGTGTTTTATGAAAGCACAAATACAATATAATAGAACTGTAGACTTACATTGCTTACTGTTGTGATTTTGTTTTGTTATCTGATATAAATGAACATTTCTTTAACATTCTTTTTCAGCATATTGAAGAAATGAGTCTTTTTGGAAAATCAGAATTAGAGAAAACTATTGAACATTTGACATGTGTTAATCATCAGGTAATGTATCAAACTGGATTTGGGGGTATCTTGTGTTATATGAATAATTATGTCAATTATAGTTTTAATACACTATTTTTTTAATTTAATTTTTTTTTATTTATTTTTTGAGATGGAGTCTCTCTCTGTTGCCCCAGTTGGAGTGCAGTGGTGCAATCCAGCTCACTACAACCTCCACCTCCCGGCTTCAAGCAATTTTCCTGCCTCAGCCTCCCGAGTAGCTGGGACTACAGTTGCGTGCTACCATGCCTGGCTCATTTTTTTTTGTATTTTTAGTAGAGATGGGGTTTCACCATGTTGGCGAGGCTGGTCTCGAACTCCTGACCTGACATTGTGATCTGCCCACCTTGGCCTCCCAAAGTGCTGGGATTACAGCGTGAGCCACCACGCCCGGCCTAATACACTGTTTTACACAATACAATAGCTGGGCATGGTGGTGCGCACCTGTAGTCCCAGCTACTTGGGTGGCTGAGGTGGGAGGATCACTGGACCCCAAGAGTTAGAGGCTGCAGTGAGCCATGATGACGACACTGCACTCCAGCCTGGGCGACAGAGCAAGACTACAACTCCTTAAAAAAATCACACAATAGTATACTAGAAAAGCTGTATAACAGCAGTTATGAGTGTTTACTCTGAAGGCTGATTACTTGGGTTCAGATCCATCTTTGCCTCCTATTACCTGCAGGCAAGTTGCTTGACCTTTCTGTTCCCTGATTTCTTTATTTGTAAAATAAGAATAGTGCTAGTACTTACTCATTAGGGTTTTTGTGAAAATTAAATGAGTTAATGCATATAAAGAACTTAGAAGCATGCCCGGCATATTGTAAGCTCTTAGTAGGTATTAGCTATAATTATTGCTATTTTGCTGTTATAAAAAAAATCATATAGGCCAGGCATAGTGGCTCATGCCTATAATCCCAGCACTTTGGGAGGCCAAGGTGAAGCAGGTGGATCAGTTGAGCCCAGGATTTTGAGACCAGCCTGGGTAAGATAGTGATACCCCATCTCTACAAAAAATTTACAAATTGGCCAGGCATGGTGGCAGGCACCTGTGGTCCCAGCTACTTGGGAGGCCGAAGTAAGAGGATCACTGGAACCTAGGAGTTCAAGGCTGCAGTGAGCTGTGATCACACCACTGCACTCCAGTCTGGGTGACAGAGCAAGACCCTGTTTCCAAAATAAGAAAAAAAAAATTATATAATACCAACGTAGAGTAAAAAGAGAAATTCACTTCCATTCCTTATTACTCTCTCTAGAGATAGGATTTTTAACAATTTGGTATGTTTTTGTTTTTATAATTTCAACTTTTATTTTAGATTCAGGGGTACATGTACAGTTTGTTATATGGATATACTGTGTGATGCTGAGATTTGGGGTACAGTTGATCCCATCACCCAGGTAGTGAGCATAGTACCCAGTAGTTTGTCAACCTTTGATGTGTTTTGTTTTGGCTAGCTTCTATTACTATGCCTTCACTGTCTTAATTTATTTGCCTTCTAATTCTGTCATCTGAGTTGGTTGAAGTGTCACCTCATCATGGTTTATATTTTCCTGTATCTTTGTGTGCCTGGTAATTTAATTTTAGATTGGATGCCAGACATTGTGACTCTTACCTTCTTGGTTGCTAGATAGTTTGTATTACTATGAAATACTCTTGAGGTTTTTTCTGGGATGCAGTTAAACTATATGGAAGTAGCCTGATCTTTTTCAGTCTTGCCTTTAAGCTTTGTTAGGTGGGATCAAAGTAGCGTTTAGTCTTGGAATAATTTTGTTTCACTACTGAGATAAAACCCTTTTGAGTACACTGCCTGTTATCCTATGAATTATGAGGTTTCCAAATGACTGATGGGCACAGGAACCTTTCCTGGCCCTGCATGAGCTCTGAGTATTGTTCTCTCTAGTTTGTTCCTGGTTCTTTCCCTGGCCTTGGGTAGTCTTCTCTATGCTGAGCTCTACTCAGCCAAAAACTTAAAGGGTACCCTTTATAGATCTGTGTAGCTCTCACTCTTTGCACTTCTCCTCTAATACCTGTCCTGCAAACTTTAGCTGCTTTGGCCTTCTTTGACCCTCATGCCTGTCTTCTGAACTTAGGGCAGACCACTGGGTTCCATGTTGGTTCCTTTCCCTGTGTCACAGTCTGGAAATTTTTCAGGCAATAAGCTGGAGCAAATGTAAAGATCATCACATTTGTTTCCTGTCTCTCAGGGGTCACTGGTCATCATTACCTGATGCCTAGTGCCCTGAAAACCATTGTTTCATATATCTCATCCAACTTTTTAGTTATTTCAGGCAGAAGAGTAAATCTGGTCCCTATCACTCCAGCTTGACCAGAAGCTAAAAACAGTAATATTAATTACTGGAAAATGTATCTGAAGAAATTACTAGAAGTCATTGGAAAGGAACAAATAAGAAAATATTTTAAAAGTTAAAATGTTGGAGAATAGCCTGAGATGATCTAATATTCAGACTAATATTTAGTTAGAACTCAAGGAGGATATAATAGAATGTAGGAGAGACAGTATTTGAAGAGATAATGATTGATGATTTTGTAGATATGAAAACACAGGAACCCTCTGATTCAAAATGAATTCCAAACGCATGACACATCCCAAGCAAGATAAATAAAAGGAAAATGCATACAATTTTAGTAGTCATGAATAATACAATTTATCTATGGATAAATTTACAGAATCTTTATAGGAAACATTATGCAACCATATTGAAAGTCATTGAATAAAAACTAAGTAAGTGGAGGATTATATCAGATTTATAAAAAAGGTTATAAAAATAACATAAATTTTCCCCAACTTGATCTATAGAGTTGAGGTAGCTCTAGTTGAAATCCCAGTAAGATTGTGTGGGAGGTGAGGGGGAAGAATTGACAATAGATCTTAAAATTTACTTGGAAGCAAAGAGCCAAGAATCACAGAAATTTTAAAGAACATGGTGCTAGACTTGCCCTCCCAGATGTGAAGCCTTTAGAGTCATAGTAATATATAATAGGCTGGGCGCGATGGCTCACACTTGTAATCCTAGCTCTTTGGGAGCCTGAGGCGGGAGGATCACTTGAGGTTAGGAGTTCAAGATCAGCCTGGCCAACATGGTGAAACTCCATCTCTACTAAAAATATGAAAATTAGCCAGGTGAGGTGGCACACGCCTGTAGTCCCAGCTACATGGGAGGCAGAGGCAGGAGAATCACTTGAACCCAGGAGGTAGAGGTTGCAGTGAGCTGAGATCATGCCACTGCACTTCAGCCTGGGTGACAGAGCAAGACTATGCCTCAGGAAAAAAAAAAAAAAAAGGCCGGGCGCGGTGGCTCACGCCTGAAATCCCAGCACTTTGGGAGGCTGAGGCTGGCGGATCACGAGGTCAGGAGATCAAGACCATTCTGGCTAACACGGTGAAACCCCGTCTCTACTAAAAATAATACAAAAATTAGCCAGGCATGATGGCGGGCGCCTGTAGTCCCAGCTACTCGGGAGGCTGAGGCAGGAGAATGGCGGGAACCCGGGAGGCGGAGCTTGCTGTGAGCCAAGATGGCGCCACTGCACTCCAGCCTACAGAGCGAGACTCCGTGTCAAAAAAAAAAAGAAGAAGAAATAATAAAACAACAGGGATTGAGAGAAACTGATCAAACCCAGTAGAGAGCAAACCCACAAATTTAAGAATTTGATCTGTGAGGTAACTCAGATCAATGGGAAAAGGAATGATTATTCACTGATTCTCAGACTGTTGGCTATTCATATTTTAGAAGGAAAAAATTGGATCCTAACTCAAATGTGCCATACCCAAAAATCAGTTAAAGGTTACTTGCAGCCTTGAATGTTCAAGATATTACTACATTTTTAAAAGAAGTACAGGAGAAGATCTTTTTGACCTTGGAGAAATAATAGTATCAGTCATTTATATAGCATTCACTATGTTTCAGATACTTTTCTCAACATTTTATACCCAATTATTTTAATTTCACAACAATCATAAAGTAAATGCTAATATTGTCCTCATTTCACAAATAAGGAAACTGAGGCAGAGGGGAACCTTGCCTAAGATCACACAGCTAGCAGGTGTCTGGTGCCAGCATGTGTGCCCCTAAACAAGACACAAACACGAATAAGTTTATTCCTTAAAGGAAAACACTGATAAGTGGGACCACATTGACAAAAACATCTTTGTTTCTCTACTTAACTATAAATCGAAAAGACAAGCCACTGATAGAACAATTTGTTACACATTTAATCCCCCTCCCCTGAAAAAGCCTCAACAGAAGGTGTGAATGAATAAACTCTTCACGGAGGAAGAAATACAAATGGCTAATAAAAGATAATTCTACCTCAATAATGGGGGAAATGTAAATTAAAACAGTAAAATCATTTTACATCAAGGCATGAGAAATTAACAAGTTGTAACATGTATTAGCAAATATTTGTAGCTCCTGGGAGTGCAAACTTCATATCTGTTCCAAAAAAATTGGTATTATCTAGCAAAGGCATACCCTATGAGCCAGCAATTCCCTTTCTAGATATGTACTGGATATGATGGAGCTCAGCAAAATACGATCCCCAGGGCAAATGCAGCCTCAAGTCTCTTTTTGCAGCACGGTTTTGCTTATTTATTCATATATTGTCTGTGGCTGCTTTTGTGCTAAGATGGTGTAGTGGGGACTGATCATAAGGCCAGCAAAACTGCCTTTTTTCTTGTAAATTTTTTTCCTTTAGTTAGTAATTGACTTTGTTTTGGTTTGCTTTGCTTTTTGTTACCGATTTTCTTTGACCCTATTGCTAATTTTTGTCAAGAGCTCCAGTGTCTCTGACTTACGCCTTTAAATATGTTTTGAATATCCAAACATCAGTTTCAGTTTTTTTCTTCTAAAAACCTCGCTTCTAGAGCTGTGTATTCTTATTCCTTTACTGTCATTTTAGCAGTGGTTTCAGAGGGAGGTGAGATAAACTATGTGTGATCAGTCCACAGTTTTAACTGGAAGACTTACATTTATTACTAATATTTACTGGTTTTAAAATTTAAATATAGATCATTTTCCCATCTAGAATTTATTTTTGTATGTAAAATAAAGAAGAAATCCAGCTAAGTTTTTTTTCCAATGAGTATTTGTCCCCACACTTATTTATTTTAAAGAGACAGAGTCTTGCTCTGTTGCCCAGGCTGGAGTGCTGTTGTATGATCACAGCTCACTGCCTCCTCCAACTCCTGGGCTCAAGCGATCCTCCCACCTCAGCCTCCCTAGTAGCTAGGACTACAGGTATACCATCATGCCTGGCTAATTTTAAAAACATTTTTATTGTAGAGACAGGGTCTCACTATGTTTCCCAGGCTGGTCTCGAGCTCCTGGCCTCAAGCAGTCTTCCTGGCCTCAAGTGATCCTCATGCATTGGCCTCCCAAAGTACTAGGATTAAAGGTGTGAGCCACCATGCCCAGCCCACTACTCTTATTTTTAAAGTTTATCCTTTTCTTACTTCCCAAAAATGCTATCTTTTCTAAATTTACATCTGTACATTTTTTTTTTTTACTGTTTTCACTTTCATAAATTTGCTTGTGCATTTGTATGTGAAATCGTCACTGTTCTAATTATAATAACTTTTTTTTTTTTTTTTGGAGAGAGTCTCGCTCTGTCGCCCAGGCAGGAGTGCAGTGGCGCGGTCTCGGCTCATTGCAACCTCTGCCACCCGGTTTCAAGCGATTCTCCTGCCTCGGCCTCCTGAGTAGCTAGGACGACAGGCATGTGCCACCATGCCCAGTTAATTTTTTGTATTTTTTCGTAGAGATGGGGTTTCACCATGCTAGCCAGGGTGGTCACCATCTCCTGACCTCATGATCCGCCCACCTCAGCCTCCCATATAGTAACTTTATAGTTTGTTTTGATATCTCAAAAAGCAAGTATACTTGTATTTTTTCCAAAAATTTTTCCGGTTTTTTTCTTTCTTTTTTTTTTTTTTTTTTGGTAAATGAATTTAGAATCAAATCTAAGCCATCCCTGTCTTTAAAAAGGATGTGTTAGAATTTGTATTGGAATTCCATTGAATTTACAAATTATTTGAGGACATTTTATTATATTTACAATATTGTGCTCCCATCAAGAAACATTGTGTGCCTTTATATTATGTCAGGTTATGTTCTGTGCTCTTCAGGAAAATTATACTGTTTTCTTCACATAAATCTTGCCCACTTTGTGTTTGGGTTACAATGTTTTGTGCTGTGTTTTTTTCCCCTCAATTCAGTCCTATTTACTTATTGTGTTTTAGAAATTCCCCAAAATTTTCATGCTACCATTGGTTTCCCTTCCTGTTTCATTGCTGTTACAGATACATTCTTTTCTCTTCATGCTTTTTATATTTTGTTTGTATCTTTAATGATAGTGAGGAGAGAGAAAGTTTACACCCATTCTGACTCCTAGAACCTAAACTGTACATGTGACTTCTAAAATTTTTTTGCCGGGCGCGGTGGCTCAAGCCTGTAATCCCAGCACTTTGGGAGGCCGAGACGGGCGGATCACGAGGTCAGGAGATCGAGACCATCCTGGCTAACACGGTGAAACCCCGTCTCTACTAAAAAATACAAAAAAAAACTAGCCGGGCGAGGTGGCGGGCGCCTGTAGTCCCGGCTACTCGGGAGGCTGAGGCAGAAGAATGGCGGGAACCCGGGAGGCGGAGCTTGCAGTGAGCTGAGATCTGGCCACAGCACTCCAGCCTGGGTGACAGAGCGAGACTCCGTCTCAAAAAAATAAAAAAAAAAAATAAATAAATAAATAAATAAAATTTTTTTAAAACTAAATCTATGTTCTTAGTTTTCTTCCAGAAATATTATTAAAGAGTGCCTAAGAAAAATATAATTAACATATTAAGATGTATACCTGTTATTTTTTTAATTTAAATTATAGCTTGAAAGCGAAAAATATGAATTAAAGTCTAAAGTGTTAATAATGAAAGAAACAATAGAGTCGTTAGAGAACAAATTAAAAGTCCAAGCTCAAAAATTTAGCCATGTGGCTGGTGACTCATCTCATCAGAAAACAGAGGTGAACTCACTTAGGTAAGTTTATTCAAAATTTTCTAATTTCATTTCTGGGAACGTGTTTGTGGTTATGTAAAGTTTATAACCATAGCATTTTGGACTGGGCCTTTGAGCAGTAGTTTTAGAAGTTGGCTTTGCAGCAGACTCACCTGGGAGCTTTTGAAAAGTATGAATTTAAGGGGCTGATTTTGGGAGGTTCTAATTCACTGAGAATCTACTTGGGTAGGTTTTGGGTATCTGTGTTTTTTAAAAGAAATTTCACAGATTATTATGATTGCAGGCAAAGTTTTTCAACCTCCTTCCTTTTGAAATCCTATTAAATACTTCAGATCATTTGTATTCCATAGTGTAAGATTACTAGAAATTACAGAATTGTTTACTACCTATGCCATTTTCTTTCTCTTTCTTGCCTGTTTCAGTGAAATGTAAAGTCAGAGAATTTATCTCCTATTTTTAGCCTTTTCTGACTTAGAAACAGAAATTTTTAAGTAGGGAGGTAAGACATATGAATAGTATTCCTTTTAGGAAGCTAACTCTGGTGGAAATATGGAACATGGATTTCAAGTCTTAGAGATTGATGACAAAAAAAGGAGACCAAGGATCTGGACTGAAGCAGTGGTAATGAACTCAGAGAACAGAGACCAAATTTAAGAAACACTTTTTACATAAAATCAAAAAGTTTAGATGACTAATATGGGGCTGAGAAATACAATAAGTAGAACATTTACCTTAGCATACTAAGTTGTTTGTTAGTCATTAATTAATTTAGAATATAGAAGACTCAAGGAAACAAAAGGCAAACAAAGCTTTTTTTCTGGTCAGCGTAGCTGCAATAACTAAAAAGATACTGAAGGTCGGAAAAAGGGGACCACTCTGAAGAATCTGAGGAAACACTTCTCTCTTAATTACATTTGCAGTCAGAATCAGGAAAAGATTTTCACATGTCAGCAAGACATTACATCTGTGAAACACTTAGTCATGAAACAGTGACAACTTGAGATCAGAAAGGATATAGTAATGACACTTTTAAAAAAAGATTTAACAAATTAAAACTGAAAAGTTAGTGAATGGCATTGGATATTGCAGAAAACTGAGTTGGTGAAATAGAAAAAACAAACTCATGAAAGTCACCCAGAACTCTAAAGAACAAAAATAAATGATGAGAAAAAAGACACAGATCCAATATACAAAAAACTAGGAATCACAGAAGTATATAGTAAACAGAGCAAATATGAGAATCAAAGGAATTAGGAAAAGTCTGTGACTGTAGTTCATAAGGGTTCTCTGATTATCTAATGACTTAATGAAATAAGACCAAGAACTGGGTGTGTCTAGTTAATTAAGGAATACTATATTAGTGACTCATACAAAACATCTCCAGTTTTCCTCTTTTGCTTCTCTGACGATAGTTTTGATAGGTTAGACCTCAGGAAGAACTAAAGTAGATACTGCTTTTTTCTTTGCTTTTTTCTGTAAGAGGAGACCTGAGTGGACCAGTATGTCCTCTGGCTCATGTCTGGATTCAGCTCCAAAGTACAGATAACATGGTATATTCTTGTCATCCAGAATTTTACTTTTCACTTTTGTGTCCAGCTGACTGGATCTAGCATTTAATCCATTTTGTTTTTCCTTGAGGTTATAGCTGAAACACCTCTTTTCCTCATAGGAGGCTTTTTCCAGTCTTAGAAGGCAGAGCTCTCAGTGCCGTCTCTTGGATAATCTAGCCTATAGCTCCTTTGGAGTTTTACTTCTTGTACTAATACTAATATCCTTTTCTCTTATAAGCTCAATCTGCCTCTTCCCTCACCTAGGAGTAATTCAGTCCCTGGCCCATAGTGAGAATTTTTGTCTACCTTTCTACCAGGTTACCTTGTATAACCTGGGGATATGACATTATATCATAACTTCGTTTTGCTGTAACAGAAAAATATAACTTATTTTGTCTCTTAGGAAAGTGTATCAATTGTATTCTCCATATAAGTGAGTATTGGTAGAACCATGAGTTGAAACCATTGAATCCAAGTTCAAAGCAAAACCAAATACAAACCATCATACCCAGCACTCTTGGGAAGTAAAACCATGTTATCCAAACCTTTTGCCACTTTCAATATGATTAATAGAGCTCTTGCTACTCCTTTGATCACATTATGTTCTCTTTTCCTTGACATGAAGACATTGTAGAAGCTGAGAGTCAGGGCCAGGCATGGTGGCTCATGCCTGTAATTTCAACACTTTGGGATTATAGTTTCAACACTTGGGAGGCCAAGGTGGGAGGATCACTCGAGCCCAGGAATTCAAGAGCAGCCTGGGCAATGTGGTAAAACCTTATCTCTGCAAAAAATACAAAAGTCAGCCAGGCATGGTAGCATGTGCCTATATTCCCAGCTGCCCGAGAGGCTGAGGTAGGAGGATTGCTTGAGCCTAGGAGTTCAAGGCTACAGTGAGCCATGCTCATGCCACTGTATTCTAGCCTGGGTGACAGAGTGAGACTGTCTCAGATAGATAAGGCATATGTTCCTTTCCATCCCCCTGAGATACCCATCTTCTTTTTCCCTTCCTGTGTCAGGCCTTTTCCACCAAATTTTATTACTAACAAACAGAATTTTCTATATCAAGCATAATCATCTTTTTTTTTTTTTTTTTTTTTTTTTTTTTTTGAGACAAAGTCTTGCTCTGTCACCCAGGCTGGAGCGCAGTGGCACGATCTTGGCTCACTGCAACCTCCACCTCCTGGGTTCAAGCAATTCTCCTGCCTTAGCCTTCCGAGTAGCTGGGATTACAGGTGCCTGCCACCATGCCCGGCTAATTTTTGTATTTTTAGTAGAGACAGGGTTTCACCATCTTGGCCAGGCTGGTCTCAAACACCTGACCTCAGGTGATCCACCCACCTTAGCCTCCCGAAGTGCTGGGATTACAGGCGTGAGCCACCACGTCCGGCCTAAGCACAGTTTAATTGTCCAAATAGAGAATCTTTTGTCTGGTTTCTTTGTGTATTTTCAGAGTGCATAATATAAAATCTCACTTTTTAACCACATTTTAAAGTTAAATTACTGTCATCTCCCTTTAATTGCAGCATTTAATGAGATCTGGCATTTTATACCCTAGATCAAAGCTACAGAATGCTGTAAAGGAACTTTTGTCTACCCAGGAAGGATAGTCTCCCGGAGCATGCTAGCCAGTCTTTAGAGCTGAGGTCAACAGTCTTTTTTTTTTTTTTTTTTTTTTGTAAACAGACAAGAGTCAGTATTTTAGACCAAGCTTATCCAACCCACCGTATTTTGTTGTTGTCTCTTTTGTTTTAGGCTTTCAGCAGCCTGAAGCCATGGTTTTTAGTCTGTCTCTAGTAATAAGTGAAACAGGGATGAGGAAGAGACTTTACTGGCCCAACCAGAAACAGAACCTAAGAACCCGTGACTGTTATTATCTCGCTTGGACACCCTGTTAGACTGTGTGGGCTATATAGTTTATGTCACACCTACTTAACACTGCCCTTGTAGCTTGAAAGTAGCCCTAGACAATATATAAAACGAAGTAGTGTGGTTGTATTCGGATACTTTATTATGGACACTGAAATTTGGATTTCATATAATTTTCATATGTCGCTAAATAATAATTTTCTGTTGAAAAATTTTTTTAGTCATTTAAACATGTAAAAACCGTGAATACCACTCAGGCCTTGCAGAAATTGGCATCCGGCTATAGTTTGTCAACCCCTGCTCAAGGAAAAATTGTTTCCAGCCCAGTTAGACAACTCACTTTTCTCAGTCAACCCCCTAGTAAGCATCCTTAAGCCTCACAACTGCCAGCTATGAGGCTCTGCACAATGAGAATCCTGCAGCTGAAAATACTGTCAGACTGTTCTCAGTTCACCTTAGTCTTTATCTGCGTTTGTTCAAAACCAGAGGGTATACTCTTATCTAGTATCAAATAGATGCTGTAGCAGATTTTCCTGGAAATGACCCATAAACTCTAGCCCATATATATTAGTTGTTTTATTAGGATTTCTTTAGCTGTATTCAGAAAACCAAATGTAACTAGTCTCCCATGAGAAGTATTTATTTGTTAAGGTAATTTATAACCATTTTATTTTATTTTACTTATTTTGAGACAGGGTCTCACTCTGTCAGGCTGGAGTGTAGTGGCACAATCATGGTTCACTGAAACCTTGACCTCCTGGCTCAAGTAATCCTCCCATCTCAGCCTCCTGAGTAGCTGGGACTATAGGCATGCACCACTACACTCAGCTAAGTTTTAAAAATTTCTGTGGAGACAGGATCTCACAATGTTGCCCAGGCTGTTCTTGAACTCCTGGGCTCAAGAGAACCATTTTAGATAAGGGAAAGAAGACTCATAAGTTACCTGGGATGCTTAAGAACTGTCTTCTGGGCATTCCTAACATTTTTTTTCTACCAGGAAAGAAAGAGGAACCAGAGCCCTGAGTGAGGATAGCTGAGTTTGTGGATCTAGAATTGAAAGGGTCAAGGGATCTAGGGCCACCAGTTACAACCATCATCCCCATGAAGAAATCTAAAAGAAAATCCATGCCTAATTTCTTTTCCCTCTCTGACTGATCAAGAGATGATACTTACTCATCTTTCTTAGTGGTGGGCTATAACTATAGACTACTGGGAGAAATCTAAAATAAAAACAGGGGTACCACATCAGTCTCTCTCTCCCTCTCTTTTTTTTTTCTAATAGGTCATTAAAATTCCAAACCTACCTTAGATGGTGCTTTAGCTCCATTTTAGAACTTGAACACTTCTTAGGAACAGAGGATCCTTTAAGATGCTGTCTTTGTTTAAAATTTACTGCATCATGATGGAAATAATTACTTTTGTCCCCTAAAATGAGATCATGCATAGCTCCGTGTAATATAATATAACTGAGGAATTTGAAGCTCAAAGAGATGGACCTCTACCCAGTCACATCTGCTAAGTGGAGAGCCAGAACTTAAGTTCATTTTTGTTGCTTCACTCTCTGGTGAGAAGTTGTTACTTCCCTTTGCTACGTTTATAGCATTTTCGAAGCTAAGAAACTGGTTCATTTTTCCTAACTTGATTCTCAAAATTTCCTTTCCAAACACCATTATGAACAACTAATAACGGCAGTCACTCAGCTCTTCTTTCCTGTGACTTCTACACCTCAACTGTTTCGTTGAGAGAACCTTTATCTTAGCAAAACTTTGGTCAGAAAAGTTAAATTCAAGGTCTGGTATCGAGTCTCGTCTTCTTTTCTTTCTACGCTAGAATATCAAAAAACAAAGCTATTTTTAGGACTCACCCAAGGGCTTCCTTTATATGTATGTATATCAAGATGTGATCCTGCTTTTGTCAACCCCACTTTCATTAGGAAGTCACCCCGCTTTATGAAGTTAGATATAAAGCAGTCTTTACATTTCTACCTGGAATTTCAAGCACTGCCAACTGCTCAGTGTCCTTCATTAGGGATTCTGCGGGCCATTCTGTTTTTGAAAGGACTCTGTATAGCTTCCTGGCAGGCGTTTTCTCTTTCACATAGAGGATGTTGGCCTTCCTATATTCTGCAAATAAGGCATTACGATGTAGTAGAAGAACGTCGTTATAGTGTTAGAGTAGCCTTAATTTGCATCTTTTCTTTGCCCTTACTTGCTTGGTGACCTTGGACAAGTTTTTTGTTGTTTGTATTAAATTGGGATAATAGTTCTAATTATGGAACCGTCCTAATTATGGTACTGTTCTAGGAATAAATGAGCTAATATGTACAAAGTACCACTCTCTGTTGTTATATCCTATGGAACAGCAGTTCTAGCTTTTAGGAATAGCTTGAATACAGTGCAGTCACCTGAACCCGAACCTCACACATAATTTTAGGAAGATTGCTTGAACCTAGTGTCTTTCTAATTTGGTTTGGTTTAGTTTTGCAAGTCTAAATAAATCAGTCCCAACTTGACTCTCCTCCCTACCTCTTGATCATCATTCACTTGCTATTAGAACAGTCAGGTCATGTGTTTTGTCTTTCAGAATACCTCAATACAGCCAAGTAAAACTTCTTCATTTCTATAAAGATGTCCCATCTTATTAGTGGTTTTGGAATTCAAACCTCCTTTCCTTTAGGCAATTCTAAGCTAAGCTCTCCTCAGTATCTTTTTCCATGTCTTATTCCTCAAAGGAAACCTAAAAGGAATCCATGGAAATTCCTGATAAATACTCTGAGATGAGAGCCGTGTCTTTTCAGCAAGGCAGGATTGTGAACTCCCAGATCAGGGCTAAAAGTGTTCTGAAGACTGCATGACATGAAAGCGATTTTTTACTGTTAAACCTTCCAGGAACAGTACTTCTGAAAAATAATCCTACTGATCAGTAACAGATTTCTCTGAAACCGTCTTTATTGTTAACCACGTAGGCCTCTGTACATCCTTTCTTTTGCTCCCTGAACGAAGTCTTTAATCTTAAATCCCCATTGTACTGCGGGAAATGCCTACTTTCCCTGCTTTCTGTGTCTCTATTTGACTACTCAGCCAAAAAGTCAGAATAAGAAGCAATATTAAAAGCTGACAGGTCAGGGCTGGGAATGGTGGCTTATGCCTGTAATCCCAGCACTTTGGGAGACCGAGGCAGATGGATTGCTTGAGCTTAGGAGTTTGAGACCAGCCTGGGCAACATGGTAAAACCCCATCTCTACTAAAAATAGAAAAATTAGATAGGTCTGGTGGTCTACGTCTGTAGTCCCAGCCTCTAGGGATGCTGAGGTAGGAGGATCACCTGAGCCCAGGAGGCAGAGGTTGCAGTGAGCTGAGATCTTACCACTGTACTCCAGCCTGTGTGTCAGAGGGAGACCCTGTCTCAAACAAACAAAAAAAAGAACTCACTGGTTGGGATGGTTAGAATTTATGGATAGTGCTTTGAAATGCCAGGTCATACTGTAAGAACAGGATTTTTCCTTTGCCTGCACTATTAGAAAAAGATTTAAAGGAAAAGGGGTTAACATTAGGAAACTAAGAAGAGCTTTAAAACTACCAAGAAGCTTCTAGAAAAGAACACACAATTAATTTGATTTTTATACTATATTATTTTTAGGAAGATGGAACCGTTTTAGAGAATAGTGGACAGCTAGAAATAATATATAATGCCATAGATTATACTGGAAGAGCTTTAAAATAAAAAATAACAAAAACTTTAAAAATAAGACATCAAAATATTTTTAAGAAATCTCATTTTTTAAAAGTATTTCTATGAGGGAGAAAGAATACCATGTGTTTTTGTCTGTTGATTCTTTAGGATAGTAATTGAGCAGCTACAGCGGTCAGTTGATGACTATCAGCACCGACTTTCCATTAAAAGAGGTGAACTTGAATCAGCCCAAGCACAAATTAAAATACTGGAGGAAAAAATAGGTAAATGTTTTAAATTTTGTTTCTGCTAATCCTAATATACTTTGTCTAACAAACATTTCTTTTCATTTGCAGATGAATTAAACCTTAAGATGACTTCACAAGATGAGGAGGCTCATGTAATGAAAAAGACCATTGGTGTTATTGATAAAGAAAAAGACTTTCTCCAGGAGACTGTAGATGAGAAGACAGAAAAGATTGCAGATTTGCAAGAAAACCTAGCTAATAAAGTATGTGATCATTTAATATAATTCTCCAGCATCCAAACAGAACAGATTTTTTGTTTTTGTTTTTGAGATGGGATCTCACTCTGTTGCCCAGGCTGCAGTGCAGTGGCATGATCACAGCTCACTGCAGCCTCTACCTCTTGGGCTCAAGGAATCCTCCCACCTCAGCAATTGGAGTTACAGGTATGGGCCACTACCCCTAGCCCGAAAAGATTATTGTATTTTCACGTATGCATTTCTTTTTTTAAAGGTTTATTTACTTTTGGCAGGATATGGTGGCTCACACCTGTAATCTCAGCACTTTGGGAGGCTGAGGCAGGAGGATTGCTTGAGCTCAGGAGTTCAAGACAAGCCTGTGCCACATGGTGAGACCCCATCTTTGCCAAAAATAAAAAAAAATAGCTAGGTGTGATAGTGTGCACCTGTGGTCCCAGTTGCTCAGGAAGCTGAGGTGGGAGGATCACTTGAGCCCAAGGGCGGAGATTGCACTGAGCTGAGATCATGCCACTGCACTCCAGCCTGGGTGACAGAGCAAGACTCTGCCTCTAAATGAATGAATGAATGAATGAATGAATAAATAAATAAATAAAAAGTTTATGTGCTTTTATTGGTACATATGAGATGTACATATTTTTGGGTTACATGTGATAATTTGAGACATTCATATAATCAAGTCAGGGTAATTGGGATATTTATCACTTTATTTTTTTCTTTATGCTAGGAATGTGTGAATTATTCTCTTTTAGCTGTTTTGAAGTGTGTGCTGGATTAGTGTTAACTAGAATCACCCTACTGATATCTCTCGAACACCAGGTCTTACTTCTAAGTGTATATTTGTGCCCATTAATCAACCTCTCTTCACGCCTCCTCCCTCATCCTTTTACTGGTCTTTGGTAACCACCAGTCTACTCTCTGCCTTCATGAGATCCACTTTTTATCACCCACATATAGGTGAGAACAAACAATATTTGTGTTTCTGTGCTTGACATGGTTCACTTAACATCATGACCTCCAGGTCCTTCCGTGTTGCTGCAAATGACAGCATTTCATTCATTTTCATGGCTGAATAATATTTCCTGTGTATATATACTGGGGGCAGATATTTCTTCGATATATTGATTTCCTCTCTTTCAGATATTTACTCAGTAATGGAATTGCAGGATCATATGGTAGTTCTATTTTTAGTTTTTTGAGGAACCTTCATACACCGTTTTCCATAGTGGCTATACTAATTTACATCCCACCAACAGTGTACAAGAGTTCCTGTTTCTCCACATCCTTGCCAGCATCTGTTATTCCCCATCTTTTTGATAAAAGGCATTCTAACTGGGGTGAGATGATATCTCATTGTAGTTTTAATTTGCATTGCTCTGATAATTAGTCATGTTGAGCATTTTTTCACATGCTTTTTGACCATCTGTATATATTTTTTGAGAACTGTCTATGAAAATCTTTGCCCATTTTAAAATTGGATTATTTGGGTTTTTTTGCTGTTGAGTTGTTTGAGCTCCTTGTATGTTCTGTTTATTAATCCCTTGTCAGATGGATAGTTTGCAGATATTTTCTCCCATTCTGTAGGTTGTCTCTTCACTTTGTTAATTGTTTCCATTGCTATGCAGACGCTTTTTGGCTTAATGTAATCCCATTTGTCTGTTTTTACTTTTGTTGCCTGTGCTTTTAAAATCTTACACAAACAATATTTGTCCACACCAATGTCCCAGAGCATTTCCCCAACATTTTCTTCTAGTAGTTCCATAGTTTCAGGTCATAGATTCTAGTCTTTAATCCACTTTGATTTGAGTGTTGTATGTGGTGAGAGATAGGGGTCCAGTTTCATTATTCTGTATGTGGTTATCCAGTTTTCCCAGCACCACTTATTGAAAAGACTGCCCTTTCCCTGTTATATGTTCTTGGCATCTTGTTGAAAATGAGTTGGCTTTAAATGTGTGGATTTATATCTGGGTCCTCTATTATGTTCTGTTGGTCTGTGTGTCTTGTTTTTATGCCAGTACCATGCTGATTGGATAGCTATATAGTATATTTTGAAGTCAGTTAGTGTGATCTCCAGCTTTGTTTTTTTGCTCAGGATTGCTTTGGCTCTTTGGGGTCTTTTCAATTTATTTGAGGATTTTTTTTTTCTGTATCTGTGAGGAATGTTGATTGTGTTCTAATAGGGATTACATTGAATCTGTAAATTGCTTTGGGTGTTATTATCATTTTAGCAACATTAATTCCATCAATCCATGAGTATGGAATATCCTTCTATTTTTTTATGGTCTCTTCTATTTCTTTCATCAGTGTTTTGTAGTTTTCCGTATATAGCTCTTTCATATATTTGGTTAAATTGATTTCTAGGTGTTTTCTATTCTTTGCAGCTATTGTAAATGGAATTGTTTTCTTGATTTCTTTTTCAGATTGCTGTTGGAGTATAAAAATGCTGTTGATTTTTGTAATCTTGATTTTGTATTGTGCAGCTTTACTGAATTTTCTTATCAGTTCCAGCAGTTTTTTAGTGGAGTGTTAAAGTTTTTCTAAATACAAGATCATGTAGTCTGCATACAAGGCTAATTTGACTTCTTCTTTTCAATTTGGATGCCCTTTATTTCTTTCTCTTGACTATTTGCCCTGGCCAGGATTTCTAGGATTATGTTGAATAAAAGTGTGAAAGTGGGCATCCTTGGCTTGTTCCAGATCTTATAGGAGAGGCTTTCAGGTTTTCCCCATTCAATATTATGTTGACTCTAGGGTTTGTCATATATGGCCTTTGTTATTTTGAGGTATTTTTTCTGTACCCTTTGTTGAGGGTTTTTACAATAAAGGGATGTTCCAACTTATTGAATGCTTTTTCAGCATCTATTGAAATGATTTATATGGCTTCTGTTCTTCTGTTAATGTATCACATTTATTGATTGTGCATGTTGAACCATCCTTGCATCCTTGGGATGAATCCCACTTGATCATGGTGAATGATCTTTTTGATTTATTTAAAAAGTATTGTTGAATTTAGTTTGCTAGTATTTTGTTGAGGATTTTTGCACCTATGTGCATCAGTGATATTGGCCTGTAGTTTTCTTTTTTTGTTGTGTCTTTGTCTGGTTTTGGTATCAGGATAATGCTGGCCTTGTAGAATGAATTTGGAAGTATTCCACCCTCTTCAATTTTCTTGAAGAGTTTGAGCAGGAATTGGTATTAGTTCTTCTTTAGATGTTCAGTAGAGTTCAGCAGTAAAGCCATTAGGTCCTGGACTTTTCTTTTGTGGAAGACTTCTTATTACAGCTTCTATCTTACTACTTGTTATTGGTTTGTTGAAGTTTTCTGTTTCTTCATGGTTCAAACTTGGTAGCTTGTAAGTGTCCAGGAATTTATCCATTTCTTCTAGGTTTTCCAGTTTGTTGGCATGTGATTGTAATTGTCTTTCATGATTCCTTGTATTTCTATGGTCACAGTTATGTCCCCTTTTTTGTTTCTGATTTTATTTATTGGGTCTTGTCTCTTTTTTTCTTGTCAGCCTTAAAGGTTTGTTGATTTTGTTTATCTTTTTAAAAAAACAACTTTTCATTTCATTGATCTTTTGTATTTTCTTTTTCTTTTTTTCTGAGATAGAGTCTCGCTCTGTCACCCAGGCTGGAGTGCAGTGGTGCAATCTCGGCTCACTGCACGCTCCACCTCCCGGGTTCATGCTGTTCTCCTGCCTCAGCCTCCCAAGTAACTGGGACTACAGGCAACCGCCACCACGCCTGGCTAATTTCTTTTTGTATTTTTAGTAGAGATGGAGTTTCACCATGTTAGCCAGGATGGTCTCGATCTCCTGACCTCGTGATCCGTCCACCTCGTCCATACCTTTAAATGTTTCTTTTTCCAAAGTGCTGGGATTACAGGCGTGAGCCACTGTGCCCAGCAGATCTTTTATATTTTCATCTCAATTTCATTTATTTTTGCTCTGATCTTTATTCTTTCTGACCTTCTACTAATTTGGAGTTTGGTTTGTTCCTGCTTTTCTAGTTCCTTTCTAGTTTCTGGTTGACGTACATCATCACTAGTTTGTTTATTTGAAGTCTTTCTAGTTGAGGTACGTCATCACCAGGTTGTTTATTTGAAGTCTTGGTTTTTTTTGTTGGTTTTTTTTTTTTTTTTTTTTTTTTTGAGACAGGGTCTCACTCTATTGCCCAGGCAAGTGCAGTAGCAAGATCATGGCTCATTGCAGCCTTGACCTTTCAGACACAAGCAATCCTCCTACCTCAGCCTCCCAATTAGCTTGTGCTACAGACGTGTGCCGCCATGCCCAGCTAATTTTTAATTTTTTTGTAGAGACGGTGTCTTACCATGTTTCCGAGGCTGGTCTCCAACTCCTAGGCTCAAGCAGTCCTCTGGCTAAGCCTCCCCAAGTGCTGGGATTACAGGCATGAGCCACCATGCTCAGCCTCAACTTTTTTGATACAGACATTTATTGCTATAAACTTCCCTCTTAGCTCTGTTTTTGCAGTATTTCATAGATTTTGGTACATTATATTTCCCTTTTCATTTGTTTCAATACTTTTTTAATTGCCTTTTTCATTTCTTCATTGACCCATTGGTCATTCGAGAGCAACTGTTGTTTAATTTTGATGTGTTTGTGTAGTTTCCAGTGTTTCTCTTATTGATTTCTAGTTTTATTCCGTTTTGTTCAGAAAAGATACTTGATATGCTTTCTACTTTCTTGAATTTGTTGAAACTTGTTTTATGGCGTGAACTATGGTCTATTCTGTAGAACGTTCCATGTGCTGATAAAAAGAATTTATTCTGTAGCATTTGGGTGAAATGTTCTGCAAATGTCAGTTGGGCATATTTGTCTAGTATACAGATTAACTCCAATGTTTCTTTGTTGATTTTATGTCAACATGATCTGTCCATTACTGATAGTGGGGTGCTGAAGTCCCCTACCATTATCGTATTGCAGTGTGTCTCTCTTTTTAGATCTATTTATGTTTGTTTTATATACCTAGGAACTCTGGTGTTGGGTGCATAAATATGTATAATTATTATACCCTCTTTCTGTATTGACCCCTTTATAATTCTATGTAGTGACCTTTGTTGTCTCTTTTTATAGTCTTTGACTTCTAGTTTACTTTGTCTGATGTGAGTAAAGCTACTCCTTCTGTTTTTGTTTGCATGACATATCTTTTTCCATCCATTCACTTTCAGTCTTATTTGTGTCTTTGTAGGTGAGATGGGCTTCCTGTAGGCAGTATATAGTTGGGTCTTCTTTTTAACCATTCAAACACTCAGTCTTTTAATTGGAGAATGGAGTCAGTTTCCATTCAGTGTTGTAAATGATATGGAAGGACTTAATGCTGCCTTTTTTTGTTTTTTTTTTTTGTTTTTTTTTTTTTTGCTTTTTTTCTAGTTGTTTTATAACTCTTCTCTTTCTTCACTTCTTATTGTCATCCTTCGTGGTTAAGTGATTTTCTCTGGTAGTATGTTTTAATTAATTGCTTTTTATAGCTTTTTACACTGTGGTTACCATGAAGCTTACAAAACATATCTTATAACAAGTTATTTTAAAGAACTGACAACTTATCTTAGATTACACACACAGAATTAAAACAAAGAAGGCCAGGCATGTTGGCTCACACCTTAATCTGGACACTTTGGGAGACCAAGATGGGAAGATTGCTTGAGGCCACAAGTTTAACACTAGCCTGGGCAACATAATGAGACCCCATCTCTACCAAAATAAAAAAAATTAGCTGGGCATGGTGGTACCTGTAGTCCCAGATATTCAGGAGCCTGAGGCAGGAGGATCACTTGAGCCCAGGAGTTTAAGGCTGTAGTGATCTATGATCACACCATTGCACTTCAAGTCTGGGTGACAGAACAAGACCCAGTCTCTAAAAAACAAACAACGAACAAAAAGACAAAACAAAAAACCCACAAAGAAATAACTAAAAAAAATTCTACACTTTATCTCCCTTGCATTTTGACCTATGGTTGTCTTAATTTGCAGATTTGTGTATTGCCTGTCTCTTAACAGGTTGCTGTAGCTATTGTTTTTGATAGATTAGTTTTTTAGGCTTCAGACTAGAATTATAAGTGGATTGTATATCACAACTACAGTATTAGAGTGTTCTGGGATTGTCTCTGTATTTAATTTTACCAGTGGGTTTTACACCCTTAAATGTTTTCTTTTTGCACATTAGTTTTTTTCTTTCTAATTGAAGAACTCCCTTAGCATTTCTTTTAAGATGTGCCTGTTCGTGGTGAATTCTCTTAGCTTTTGTTTATCTGGGAAGGACTTTATTGAAGGGCACTTTTGCTGGATAACATATTCTTGTATGGCAGTTTTTTTCTTTTAGCACTTTGAAAATGATAGTCTACTTCCTCTTGGCCTGTATGGTTTCTTTTGAGAAGTCTGTTTCTAGATGAATTGGAGTTCCTTTTTATATCATTTGCTTTTCTCTTCCTGCTTTTAGGATCCTATCTTTGTCCTTGACCTTGGAGAGTTTATTATATGTTTGGGGCAGTCTTTTTTTTTTTTTTTTGAGACGGAGTCTTGCTCTCTCGCCCGGGCTAGAGTGCAGTGGCCGGATCTCAGCTCACTGCAAGCTCCGCCTCCCGGGTTTACACCATTCTCCTGCCTCAGCCTCCCGTGTAGCTGGGACTACAGGCGCCCGCCACCACGCCCAGCTAGTTTTTTGTATTTTTTAGTAGAGACGGGGTTTCACCGTGTTAGCCAGGATGGTCTCGATCTCCTGACCTCGTGATCCGCCTGTCTCGGCCTCCCAAAGTGCTGGGATTACAGGCTTGAGCCACCGCGCCCGGCCTGGGGCAGTCTTTTTTGGGTTGAATCTCTTTCGTGTTCTCTGACCTTCCTACACCAGGAAATTTGTCTTTCTCAAGTTTTGGAAAGTGTTCTGTTATTTCTTTGAGTAAGCTTTCTACCCCTTGATCTTGCTAAACTCCCTCTTGAACACCAGTAATCCTTCAGTTTTGTATTTTTCTATATCTTGTAGGCAATTTTTGTTCCTTTTTATTCTTTTGTTGTTGTTCTCCTTTCCCTGTGTAATTTCAAATAGCTTGTCTTCAAGCTCACTGATTCTTGCCTTTGCTTGATCCATTCTCCTGTTGAGATCCTCCAATGAATTTTTCAGTTCAGGAAATGTATTTCTCAATTCTAAGATTTGTTTGCCATTTTTTATTATTTCAATCTCTTGGTTAAATTTCTCTGATATGAGCCAGGTATAGTGGTGTGCACCTGTGGTTCCAACTGCATGGGAGGCTGAGGCAGGAGGATCCCTTGAGCCTAGGTGGTTGAGTCTGCAGTGAGCCGTGATTACACCACTGCACTCCAGACACTCCAGCCTGGTCAACAGAATGAGACCTGTCTCAAAAAATATATATTAAAAATTTTTTTCTGATAAATTTCTGAATTTTCTGTGTTATTCTAGAGATCACTGAATTTCCTTGATACCTCAATTTTGAATTCTTGGCCAGAGAGCTCAGGTGTCATTGTCTTGTCAGGATCAATCACTGGTTCCTTGCTTTGTCCATTTGAAGAGTTCATAGTTCCCTGTTTGCTGTTGTTTCTTGTGGATGTATGTCTGTGTTTTCGAAGGATTAGTTATTTACTCCAGTCTTCTCTGTCTGGCTTGTTTTTTTGTTGTTGTTTTTGTTTGTGTTTTTTGAGACAGAGTCTTGCTCTGTCACCTAGACTGGAGTGCAGTGGCATGATCTCAACTCACTGTAACCTCTGTCTCCCGAGTTCAAGCGATTCTCCTGCCTCAGCCTCCCAAGTAGCTGGAATTACAGGCATGCAACACCACACCTGGCTAATTTTTGTATTTTTAGTAGAAATGGCATTTCACCATGTTGGCCAGGCTGGTCTCGAACTCCTGATCTCGGGTGATCCACCTGCCTCAGCCTCCCAAAGTACTGGGATTACAGGCCTGAACCACCACACCCAGCCTGGCTTGTTTTGGTTTTCATTGGTTATGTTTGCTTAGAGATTCTTCAAACTTTATTGAATTTCTTATACTTTTTTTCATAGGTTACTGCCTCCTTTTTGTCACTAGATGGTGGCTAAAGCCCAAGTTTGCCTTGGCTTTAGTGAATGCTCACACCCCTACCTATCTGGGATGGGGGAGGTCCCAAAGGGGATGTCCCAGCAGTGTCGAAGGGCTGGCTAAGGGTTTGTGCCCAGGGGACCTGTGGAATGTACCTCCTACAGCATGGTGTTACTGAACTACCACTCTGATTTGCTGTCTTTGCCGAACAGAGAAGAGTTTCCAGGGATGAGGAGGTAGTCCTACCTCACCACTTTGTCTCTGGGTGTCCTCAGGGACAGGTCTCCCTTCAGGTATCCATGATGTTTCCTGTGTGTTGAGGCATGGAACAGGTCTCCTGCCAAATTACGCAAAATAGTAGAAAAGCTGGTTGTCCACCTCAATCTCACTTTTTCCAGTGTAGAAACCATGAATTAGAGGAGATTTTCCTTTGTACTTGGTGCCAGGCAGATTGAGGGAACGGACATCACAGATGTGCAAATTCGATTCTGTCATTGTGTGCTCAGAGGTTTTTTACGTCTCTGTGGCCCAGGAACTGACTTGTCCTCGTATTTGAGTCCTGGGATAGTGCTGATGATAATGTTAACATTGTATATTTATTTTTGGTTTTCTTTGTGAGGAATGAAGTCAGCTTGTGACTACACCACCATCTTAGAACCAGAAGTTTCCCAAATATGCAATTATTATTGGCCATGTAGAAGTTTCTAAGACCCAGGACCATGTTTTCTAATGTTTAAATATCATTTTTTTCAAATAATGTTGATCTTCAAAATGTAATTTTATCTATTTCTAGAATGTGATTTTATCAGATCTCATTAAAGCAAACTCAAGAAAACTATTCAAGGGTAGGTCAAAACACGCCAGTATGTGAAGTACGATTGGGACATGGAGATATGTTCACTTGGAGCTTTGTTTTAGGCATACTTTATATAATTGAGCTGCATATTTGAACTATATGAGTATGACAAGTTATATAAATTTAGCTAAAGACATTTTGGTTTAAAATCTTACACATTTTTGTAATTTCTATAGGAGAAAACTGTTGCTCAAATGAAGCTAATGATCTCAGAGTGTGAATCAGCTGTGAAGTAAGTCATTAATGAAATTACATCCAGCTTTTTAGGAGATTTTCAGTGAATACAGCTTTATCTATTCAGTAGCAATGTAGCAATAGAAGAATTTCTCTTTCAATTTCCCCATTTTTGTCAATGGTAGCATCATTTTCTCAGTCTCCAGCTTGAAAATATGTTATCCTCTTTAACCTCTCCTTTTCTGTCATCCACATAACACTTATGTCTTATTAACTATTCTCCTATATACCTACTTGTTCCTTATTTTTACTGTAATTATGCCACTTGGAGCCTAATCATTAAAACTTAAATTACTTAGTAGCCAATCTTGAATTTATTGTCCATCTAAACCTATCTTGAGCGCTGTCATAAAATTTTACGTTTTATATCTAGTCTCTCCAGGCAGATTGTAAGCCACTTCAAGAAAAAAGTTGCTTATTTATTTTACTTACCCTTAACATTTTATATAATAGTGGGGATATAGACATTTAATAAATATTTGCCAATTCAATCTATGCTTTACTTTTTGTTTGTTTTTGAGACAAGGTCTCACTCTGTTGCCCAAGCTGGAGTGTAGTGGCATGATCTCCACTCACGGCAACCTTGGCCTCCCCAGGCTCAGGTGATCCTCCCACCTCAGCCTTCTGAGTAGTTGAGACTACAGGCATGTGCCACCACGCTCAGCTAATTTTAAAAAACTTTTTGGTAGAAATGGGGTCTCCCTATATTGCCCAGGCTGGTCTCGAACTCTTGGGCTCAAGCTATTCAACTTTTAACACTTGAAAGTGTTCTGTGTTTACTTGACTGTTGGATTAATACATTTATTTTTTTTTTTACTTCATTTGCAGGTAATTATTGGTAGAGCTCTAAAATATCTGTTTTACCTAATTAATAGGTATCTTAATGCAGCAGTTATAATTTCTTATAATCACAGTATATTTGTATTCTAAGTATACTTAGACTATAAGTTTTCTTTTAAATGAACTACAGTTTTTATAAGTTTTCTTTATTATTTTCACATCACTCATTTAACAGCCAGCTAAAAGAAACATTAGTTAATCGAGATCGTGAGATAAACAGCCTCCGGCGCCAGCTTGATGCAGCTCACAAAGAACTCGATGAAGTAGGAAGATCTAGAGAAATTGCTTTTAAGGAAAACAGAAGATTGCAAGATGACCTGGCTACAATAGCAAGAGAAAACCAAGTACGAACACAATGCATAAAATTTGATAGTTTTATACTATCCATTGTTTGCTAAATATTACAGCTCTAAATTTTTTTTCTAAAATTTAATGACATAAAAATAAGTGATATAAATAATTCATTAAGGACAATGGTGTTTATCAGGGTATTAAAAAATGTAGCTTAGGCTGGGCGCAGTGGCTCACACCTGTAATCTTAGCACTTTTGGAGGCTGAGGTGGGTGGATCACTTGAGATCAGGAGTTTGAGACCAGCCTGGCCAACATGGTGAAACCCCATCTCTACTAAAAATACAAAAATTAGCCAGGCGTGGTGGTATGCGCCTGTAATCCCAGCTGCTCGGAAGGCTGAGGCAGGAGAATCACCTGAACCTGGAGGTGGAGGTTGCAGTGACCCGAGATCGTGCCACTGCACTCCAGCCTGAGCAACAGAGTGAGACTCCATCTAAAAAAATAAAGTTGCTTAGAATGCTGCTGTATATCACAGGGTGTCTAATGGGTGCAACTGATCTTCTCACCATTTTGGTCTTTGTTGCAAGGAAACCTAAAGCTGAGAGCATGAAATTCTGTATGTCAGAAATCATTGTCACCCAATGGGTGAGGACATCAGCATCACTCCCAGAGCAAAGTTTCTGTGTTTTAAAGACTCAGGATAGGTTTTAATTATTTGTGCTTACTTCTGTCTGCTCTGAAATATACCTGTAGTTAAATGAATGAGTGTTTTAGAATGGTAAATACTGAAAGGTATTAGTTCTGTTTGTGCTGGTTTCCTAACAGATTATACTGAGAAAACCAGTGATTTTCCTGTTTTAAATATTTTATGTTTTTAAAAAATTGTTTTCAGTATTATTCAGCATAAAGCATATTGATGAAATATGAATTTTTTTAATGTCAGCCCCTGACCATAGCTAGCCCTTAGTGTAAATATCAGATACATGATCAGGACTATTATGGGAAATGTGTGATAAAGTTTGGTTAAAAAGTCAAGATCAGACCAGGCGTGGTAGCTCACGCCTATAATCCCAGCACTTTCGGAGACCAAAGTAGGAGGATTGTTTGAGCCCAGGAGTTTGAGACCAGGCTGGACGTCATAGTGAGATCTCATCTCAGAAAATTAAAAAAAATTAGCTGGCATGGTGACATTTGCCTGGGATCTCAGCTACTTGGAGGACTGAAGTGGAAGGATTGCTTGAGCCCAGAAGGTCAAGGCTGCAGTGAGCTGTGATCACGCCATTGCACTCCAGCCTAAGTGATAGAATGAGACTCTGTCTGAAAAGTTTTAAAAAGATGAGATCTGCCAGGAAAAATATGTGAAAATAACACTTAGGAACAGTTTTCCTTTTGTCCTACTCTATCTTATTCTCCAATTCCAAAGGAATTATTTGAATATAAATAAAATTTATTTGGTGGTGTGTTCATTTTAGATTGTCTTTAATTTTTTTTATTTGTAGGAAATCTCATTGGAATTGGAAGCAGCAGTGCAAGAAAAAGAAGAAATGAAGAGCAGAGTTCATAAATACATAACAGAGGTGTCACGATGGGAGAGCTTAATGGCTGCCAAGGTGAAAAATGCTATTTAGGTTGGATTTAAGACTGAGGGTTTTTCTTTTTTTAACTTTTTCATGTTGGTTTATTCTGCCTCTACAATTAGATATTAAACATTTTAAAGTAGAGATCCTGCCTACTGCCTTTTTCTATTTTTCCCATAGATTTTAGTGTGGTACCTGCACAGATAACTAATGCTTCCTAAATTAGAACAGAATGCTGTGTGTGTGTATGTATTTATGACATGGGTGTTCCAGTAAGTGACAGTTACTAATTTAGAAACAATTTTATTATGATTAAACCAGGAAAAAGAAAATCAAGATTTGTTAGATAGATTTCAGATGCTTCATAACCGTGCTGAAGACTGGGAGGTCAAAGCCCATCAAGCGGAGGGAGAAAGCAGCTCAGTTCGACTGGAACTTCTTTCTATTGACACTGAGAGGAGACATCTTCGAGAAAGAGTGGAGCTATTAGAAAAAGAAATTCAAGAGGTAATATATTTATTTGTTTTGTAAAGATGTTATTTGGTGAAACAAAACATTCAAAGATACTTTATTTTTATTTTTATTTTTTTATTTTTTTTTTGAGACAGAGTCCCACTCTGTCACCCAGGCTGGAGTGCAACGGCACAATCTCGGCTCACTGCAACCTCCACCTCCTGGGTTCAAGCAATTCTTCTGTCTCAGCCTCCTGAGTAGCTGGGATTACAGGCACGCGCCACCATGCCTGGCCAATTTTTTGTATTTTTAGTAGAGACGGGGTTCCACCATGTTGGCCAGGCTGGTCTCAAACTCCTGACCTTGAATGGTCCACCCACCTCAGCTTCCCAAAGTGCTAGGATTACAGGCATGAGCCACCGTGCCCGGCCTCAAAGATACTTTATTGACCTGAGGTTGTAAACATTGATAAAATCAAGTTCAGTGGTAAATTTCTGTCATTCTCTTAATTTTCATACAAGCCCCATTACTTTTTTTTGTAGTAAAAGATACATACATCAAATTTCCCATTTTAACCATTTTTAAGTAGACAGTTCTATGGCATTGGTACATTCACAATGTTGTGTAACTGTCACCATTATTTGTCACCCTGCTTTCTATCTCTGTGAATTTGATTACTCTAGGTACCTCATATAGTGGAATCACACAATATTTGTCCTTTTGTGACTGATTTCACTTAGCCTTATGGTTTTCTTTACCTCAGGGTTCATCCGTATTGTGTAGCATGTATCAGAATTTCATCCTTTTTTAAGGCTGAGTAACATTTCATTGTATGTATGTACGACGTTTTTGTTTAGCCATTCATCTGTCAATAGACATTTGATTTGGTTCCACCTTTTGGCTGTTGTGAATAATGCTGCTGTGAACATGGGTATACAAATATATCTGTTCAGGTGCTTGCTTTCAGTTCTTTTGGGTGTATACCCAGAAGTGGAATTACTGAATCATATGATAATTCTGTATTTAATTTTTTTAAGAATAGCCATGTGGTTTTTCCATAGGTGCTACACCATTTTACATTTCGACCAGCAACGCATGAGGGTTCCAGTTGCTCCACATCCTCACCAATACTTGTAATTTTTTAATTTTTTGTTTTACAAGAGCCATCGTAATGGGAGTGGAGTGGTATCTCGTGCTTCTGGTTTGCATTTCTGTAATGGTTAGTGATGTTGAGCATCTTTTCATTTGTTTATTAATGATTTGTGTATCTTCTTTGGAGAAATGCTTATTCAAATCCTTTGTTCATTTTTTATAATCAGATTGTTTTAACTTGTTGTAGAAGTTCTTTATATATTCTGGATATTAATACCTTAGTGTATATGTGGTTTGCAAGTACTTTCTCCCATTGTGTGGGTTGCCTTTTCAACAGTTTTTGATGTACAGAAGTTTTCAATTTAAATGAAGTCCAATTTATTTTTTTCTTTTGATGCCTATACTTGTGGTGTCATATCCAAGAAATCATTGCTAACTCCAGTGTCATAAAGCTTTTCCCCTATGTTTTCTAAAAAGAGTTTTATAGTTTTAGCTCATATACTCAGGTCTTTGATCCATTTTGAGTTAAGTTTTACAAATGATATAAGGTAAGAGCCCACCATTATTTTTTTGCATGTAGATTTAAATAAGATTTTGTCATAAAGACAGTCTATAAAAATCTCATAATAAAAAATGTGAGTTCAGTTAAAGTATAGGGACCCAGGGTTAGATTGATATACAATAGTTGGCCATTATTATCATTTTTGTTTTGTTTGTGTAGTCTTATAATTTTTATCTTTCAGGAGAAAGTATTGACTATCTGTAGCGGATAGAATTATAGTCTCCAAAAAGATATATTGAGGTACCAACCCCCAGTCTCTTATTTGGAAAAAGTGTTTTTGTAGATGGAGTCAAGTTAAAATGAGGTCATAGTGGATAGGACAATGGATATTTGGACATAGGAGAGAACACCACGTGAAGATGGAGGCAAAGATTAGAGTGATATGTGTAAAAGTCAAGGAATGTCAAGGACTGCCAGTAGCCATCAGAAACTAGGAGAGAAGCAAAGAACAGATTCTGCCTCAGAATCTCCAAAAGGAATCATACCTGCCAACACCTGAATTTTGGACTTCTAGCTTCCAGAATTATGAGAGAATAATTTCTATTTTTCTAGGCCACACAATTTGTGGCAGTTTGTTACAGCTGCCCTAGGAAACTAATACAGATTATGGCACCAGAAAGTGGGTTGCTGCTGCAACAAACACCTGAAAATATTAAAGTGGCTTTAGAACTGGGTAATGAGTACTTACTGAAAGAGTTTTGAAGTGCTTGACAGAAAAAGCCCAGATTGCCTTGAAGAGATCATTGGTAGAAATATGGACATTAAAGGCAATTGTGATGAAGACTCAGAAGAAGTGAGAGCTGTAAAGAAAACTTCTGTTATTTACAGAATACATATGTTGTCATGGATGAATTTTGCCAGAAATATGAATGTTTCCTCTGGTGATGTCTCAGAAAGAGTTGAGAAAAGATGTTACTTGTTATAAAGTGACAGAGAACTTGGCTAAGTTATGGTCTACTGTTGGGAGAAAAGTAGAATTTGTAAGGGATGAACTCAGATATTTAGCTGAGAAGATTTCCAAGCAAAGTGCAGAAGAGACAGCCTGGTTTCTTCTTGTTACTTGTAGTAAAATGTGAGAGGAAAGAGAGAAATGGAGGAAGGAACTAAAAAGCAAAAAGGAAACCAAGATATGAAGCTGGGCGTGGTAGCTGACACCTGTAATCCTACTACTTTAGAAGGTCAGGGCAGGCAGATCGCTCAAGCAATCCACCTGTATCCACCAAAAAACTACACTCAGGAGTTCGAGACCAGCCTGGACAACATGGCAGAACCCCGTCTCTACAAAAAATACAAAAAAATTAGCTGAACGTGGTGGCACGTGACTGTAGTCCCAGCTACTTGGGGGACTGAGCCCAGGAGGTCAAGGCTGCAGTGAGCCGAGATTGTGGCATTGCACTCTAGCCTGGGTGACAAAGTGAGACCCTGTCTCAATAAAACAAAAAGGAAAGAAACCAGAACTTGATGATTTTGGAAAATTCTTAGCCTATCCAGACAGTATGCTGTAGAGTGTGACTAGAAAACCTCTTGGTGAAGAGATTAGATATGTGACTCATGAATCCAATCAGTCATCTCAGCAGAATCACTGCCAGCTTTGACTGAAAGAAGCAGAAATGGGATGGAATGAAGGAAGGCTATTGGACTTCTGGGATCCTACTAGCAGAAAACAGACCAACAGAGCTAGTTGGCTGCTAGTTCACCTTCAAAAAAAGGACAGAATGACTCTAAGGGTAGCTCAGAGACCAGCAAGGCCACCAAGGGCAGCTCAGAGGCTGGTGGGGCTGTGGCTACCACCACAAGCCCAGACAGGTCCAGATGATGGAGCTACTGTCTGTCTCCTTGGTTTCAGAGGGCAAGGCCACTACCCCTGTGGGACACAGGGTGGGGCCACCCTGGCTGGCTCAGAGGACAGAGCACCAGATAAACAAGGCACAAATGATTATTATTGGGTTTTGAAATCTAATAGATTCAGCCTGCTTGGTTGCAGACTGACTTTGGACTAGTAACTCCTTTATTCCTTTTATTTTCTCCCTTTTACAGTGGGACTGTCTATTGTATGCCTATCCCACCATTTTATTTTGGAAGCAGTTTACTTGTTTTCCAGTGTCATAGGTCTGTACATGGAGGAGAATTTTGTCCCAATGTGGTCCATATTCAGAGTCTCACCCATATGTGATTCAGATGGTGCTTAGATGAGATTTTGGGTTTAGAGTTGATGCTAGAATGTTGGGATGGAGTGAATGTATTTTGTATAATGGAAAGGACATGAATTTTGGGGGACCAGAGGGTAGGAGAATTGTGTTCACCAGAAAGATACGTTGAAATCCTAACCTCCAGTATCTGTCAACATGACCTTATTTGGAAACCGGGTTTTTGCAAATATGAACAAGTTAAGATGAGGTTGTGCTGGGTTAAGGCAGGCCTTAACCCAGAGAATGATGGGTGTCCTTCAAAGATGAGGGAAATTTAGATACGTATATACAGAGAAGGCTGTGTGAAGATTGAGGCAGAGATTGGAGTGATATGTCTACAAGTCAGTGAACACCAAGCCCTGGCAGCATCCACCAGTTGCTAGGAGAGAGGCATGGGACAGATTCCCCCACAGAAGCTCTGGAAGGAGCCAGCCCTGCCAACACCCAGCCTCCAGAACTGTGAAAGGATAAATTTCTGTTGTTTTTTTTAAACACCTCATTTGTGGTAGTTTGTTACAGCAGCCCTAGGGAACTAATACATTGTCTCTAAAAGTTTTCTGTTAAGAAGAGTATAATAACTAGTTAAAGGAATCCTTTTCAACCTTCAGAAGAGTTTTTCAGCAACTGTTCTCAACTAATCTTCAATTATTTTGTTCTTTATTATTGTTCGTGTTCTTATGTAGTATATGAAATTAGCTTTTGCTAAAGTATAAGCCAATTTCACAATAAAGTATTTGTTTAGGGGAGCTTTTAGTAATGCACTAAAAAATCTAAATACTTTTCTGTGATTGTTGAAGTTGATTGAATCTTCACAGCACAATATTAGATTTTCAATGTGGATTCATGGAGTTTTTTTTTTAAGAGACAGAGTCTTGCACCATTGGCCAGGCTGGAGTGGAATGGCTTGACCATAGCTCACTGCAGCCTTGAACTCCTGGGCTCAGGTGATCTCCCGCCTCAGACTCCCACGTAGCAAGGACTGTAGGCATGTGCCACCACACAGCTAATTTTTGTATTTTTTTGTAGACAGGTTCTCACTATGTTGCCCAGGCTGGTTTCAGATTCCTGGGTTCAAGTGATCCTCCCGCCTCAACCTCCCAGAGTGTTGGGGTTGCAGACGTGAGCCACTGTACCCAGCCATTTTAATAGCCTGTTGCAATAATTTTATTTTTCAAATGCAGAATTCTTCCCAAAACCCAGAAGTAGAGTTTATATCAGTTTGTATTTATTACTCATAATTCAAATTGTGAGAAATTTCAACTGTGGATTCTTCTTTAAAAAATGTATCAGTATTTGAAATTTTTTCCATTATTTCAGTTATTAAAATATTAAAAAGTTACTTACTATTATTTAAGTTAAATTTAAATTTCTTCAGGTATTTAGTTTTGAAATAAACCCCATTTTTGGAATTTAGAATTTAACTGAAGACAGTTGAGGAGTGATATGTATATATGTTACTTTTTCTTGAAATGGCATTATTATAACAAAGATAATTTATAAAGGAAAAATTTAATGCAATTTCAAAAATTCCTCATATCCACAACCCCCTGACACAATAACTTTCTTTTTTACATCTTCCAAATATATAAATAGACACATGAGGTACACAGTTACCATGATTAATAATTATACACAATTCCTTTTGTTAAGCATTAAATAGGTCATCTTTAAATAGTAGGCAGCTTCCTGGGAGTATTTTAAAATAAGCAAAAATTGACTGTCATATTTTTCTGAAGTGAAATTGTTGGCTGTACACATTCAGGTTCTTAAAATGTTTGGGTTATTTTAACTTTTTACTTGTTTCTTTTTCTTTTTTCAGCACATAAATGCCCATCATGCTTATGAATCTCAGATCTCATCAATGGCAAAAGCCATGTCTCGATTAGAAGAAGAGCTGAGACATCAAGAAGATGAGAAAGCAACAGTATTAAATGACTTATCATCTCTTAGAGAACTTTGCATTAAGCTTGATTCAGGCAAAGATATTATGACGCAGCAACTGAATTCCAAAAACCTTGAGTTTGAGAGGGTAAGAAAGAGAAATTGTCTTGGCAAATTGTTGTATTGAGCCCTACTCTAATTGTTTTACTTTGGCATTCACCACACCATGCATATATTTGTTTCCTTTTAGAGTAGTTACTTTTTTTTTTGAGATGGAGTTTTGCTCTGTCGTTCAGGGTGGAGTGCAGTGGCGCGATCTCGACTCACCACAACCTCCGCCTCCTGGGTTCAACCAGTTCTTCTGCCTCAGCATCCCGAGTAGCAGGGATTACAGGCATCTGCTGACACATCTGGCTAATTTTTGTATTTTTAGTAGAGATGGGGTTTCACTATGTTGGCCAGGCTGGTCTCAAACTCCCAACCTCGGGTGATCTGCTGGCCTCGGCCTCCCAAAGTTCTGGGATTATAGGCGTGAGCCACTGTGCCCGGCCTACAGTAGTTACTTTTGACTACAGGATTTTGACAACCAGATTTGACTGCTTGATTCTTTGCAAGATTTCTCAGGCAAACGTAGTGATGAAAGTGGGTGCTGTTTTGGAATAGATGGCTATTTAGGAAATTATGAATTTTCTGATTATAAATTAGGAGCATATCCTACTACATTCTTTCTCTGTTTAAAAGTAAGACTTGAGGCCAGGTATGAAGGCTTATACCTGTAATCCCAACACTTTGGGAAGCCAAGTCAGGCAGATTGCTTGAGCTCCAGAGTTTGAAACCAGCCTGGGTAGCATGGCAGAATCCTATCTCTACAAAAAATACAAAGAATTAGTCAGGAATGTGGTATGTGCCTGTAGTCCCAGCTACTTGGGAGGCTGAGGTGGGGAAGGTTCACTTGAGCCCAGGATGTTGAGGCTGCAGTAAGCAGAGATTGTGCCACTGCACTCCAGCTTGGGCAACAGAGTGAGACCCTGTCTCAAAAAAAAAAAAAAAAAAAAAAAAAGTAAGACTTGAATGAAGGATTGAACGGTTCAGTGCTTCCAAAATAGACTATTTTTCCCGATAAAAATCTCAAGGTGTTTAAATCTTAATTAAACAAGTCTATTTAGCTAGAATTTGCCATTCCCAAACGGAGGCATTACTTTAAATAACCTAGTGTTTGTTTTCAAACATGGTTGTTTTCAATTTTCACTCATCTAGTAGTATCCTTATTTTCAAGTACTGAGAAGCTGCAATACTGACTTGATCATGTAGTCAGAGTAAGCATATTCAACCAGAAGGATCTCATTGCCCTTATGATTTTATCTTAATGACCCTCTCTTGACAAGGTACCATGACTGAACACTATTTGAGGATTGGAGTAGATCCTATAGCCAAATAAGCCCATAGTAACAAAGATTATTTTGAAAATAAAGTGTCTTTCTTATACTTAAAGAAATGGTTCATAATCTTTAACCAATACCCAAAATGAAACAAGTGATGGATGACTAGTTCCACAGAGCTATATTGTCATATACATAATTTTTTCAGAGTAAATTTAAATTGTACTGAAGTAATCTTACTTTGTTTTTCATGTAGGTTGTAGTGGAATTAGAAAATGTAAAGTCAGAGTCAGACCTATTGAAAAAACAACTGTCAAATGAGAGACATACAGTTAAAAACCTCGAATCATTGTTGGCTACAAACAGAGATAAAGAATTTCATTCTCACTTAACCTCCCATGAGAAGGATACAGAAATCCAGCTACTTAAGGAGAAGTTAACCCTTTCTGAAAGCAAATTGTAAGTGTCTTAAGTCAATTTATGCAAAGACAATTGCTTGTGAAGGGTAATTTTTTAATTTTTTTGAAGTGGAGGAAAGGTTAAGAGTATGAAGGATAGGCCAGGTGCAGTGGCTCACACCTGTAATCCCAGCACTTTGGGAGGCCAAGGCTGGTGGATTGCCTGGGCTCAGGAGTTTGAGACCAGCCTGGGCAACATGGTGAAACCCCATCTCTACTAAAAATACAAAAAAAAAAAAAAAAAAAAATTAGCCAGGTGTGGTGGTGCACACCTGTAGTCCCAGCTACTCAGGAGGCTGAGGCACGAGAATCACTCGAACCCAGGAGGTGGAGGTTGCAGTGAGCCGAGATTACACCACTACACTCCAGCCTGAGCGACAGAGCGAGACTCTGTCTCAAACAAACAAAAAGCATATGAAGGATGTACAAAACCAAAATATTTGGCTTATATGTCTGCTGCTTTTGGAAATTTAGGAGACTGGCTCGGGAGAAACATCGTGTTGGGAGGTGCAGACCTGTATATCTTCACTACAGAGGTGGTACTGTGGCAGAGTAATGAGAAGAGAAAACATTAGGAAAGCACCTACATTTGAGGAATGGACAGAGGAGTCAGTGAAGAGAGAGCGTTCTCAGGAGAAGAAGAGGTGGCTGTGTTTTATGCTGTAGATTAGGAAAAAGGACTCTAAAAAGGCTACGAGATTTGACCCACATTACGTGTATTGATTACTTTGGGAGAGATTGATGATGTAATACTTTTACAATAGAAGGATTTAGACATATTTGTAGGAAGAGGGAAGGAAACCCAGAGTAGAGTACGCATGGAAGAATGAGCTTTTGAAAGGTATTAAAAATATTAGTATTTCTCTTTCCAAGGCAAGCGTCAAGAAAGAGCCAATGACGACACTTTACATCTTGATATTACAGTTTATGTCCCATTCAAATTTGTATCCCTAGCACTGCTTTAGTGCTTAGTATGTAATAGATGTTCAGTAAATGTTTCATAAATAAATGAATGAAAAAGAAAATGTGATAAAAGCTCTACAAGTTTAGAGAATTCTTGTTGAAAGGTCTTGATCTTCTCTTTATTAATTTAAAAAACCACAGCACTTGACTTTACAAAACAGATCATTTATTTCTGGATTTTTAAATTTGTTTTTAAGAACTAGTCAAAGCCGGGAAAACACCATGCTTCGAGCTAAAGTGGCACAGTTACAAACAGATTATGATGCCCTGAAAAGGCAGATCTCAACTGAAAGATATGAACGGTAAGACAAATTTTTTAAACATTTGACAGTGTTTTTATGTGTTCTCTATCATACTTCAGAAAGTATTTAATATGGCTTACAAATAGCAAACTTGCTAATACATAAAGTACATTTCTTTGGCAATTCTTCCTTTTAAAAAAGGCAACAAGTACTGGGGACGATAACAGCTCTACAGTAACTAAAATAGCAAGTATTACATAGCAGATGCTTTATAAATATTTATTGAATAAAATTGTTTAATCTGAAAAATAAGGTAAAATAGCAAGTGTTGTATAAATATTTCCTATAGCATTCTGTAGGGCAAAATTAGAGCCCACAGTTATTTCAGAGAGTGTAGAGAAGGAACAACAATCCGTACAAGAGCTCCGAAATGTATGGTTCAAGTAGGATGTTCCACATACAAATCATAATAAAGGTAATGATATTGAAGATAGTAACAGCAGTTAACAGATGTGGGCCAGACACTATATAAGTGTCTGATTAATCCCACCAACAATCTATTATTATGCCTACATAAAGGAAACTGAGATCACATAAATAGTAAATGGTAGGACCAAGAGTAAAACCAAACAGGTTTTAATTCTAAAACCTGTACCCTTAACCTCTCCAATGTATTCCCTATAGCTTAGTAATTTTCATATTCACTCATAATTTGGTTCATTTGCTTTATGTTGAAAAATTTAATCCCCAAGTGTTACAAACCCAGAAAGAGACCTGCTTTAAATTAAAGTCTAACTTGCAAATCAATTGCCACGTTACTTTTCTTCCATTACTCTTTGCTACTATGTTAACACCATAGACATCTGCATTCCTGAGATTTCATTCTCAAATAGTGGCCAAGTTGCTTGTTAGATCAGTTTTTGAGTTATTCTTACCTATTTACATCAAAACTTTATGGTGATTTGCTGTTTGAAGTGTGTGCTATGAAATCAATATTTACAATTTCATAAAGGACTTGTGCAATCCCAGCACTTTGGGAGGCCAAGGCAGGTGGATTTACTTGAGCCCACAAATTTGAAATCAGCGTGAGCAACATGGCAAAACACCATCTCTACAAAAAAATTTTTGAAAATTAGCTGGGGCATGATGATGGGTGCCTGTAGTCCCAGCTACTCAGGAAGCTGAAGTGGAAAGGTTGATTGAGCTCAGGAGGTTGAGGCTGCAATGAGCTGTGATCGTGCCACTGCCCTCCAGCTTGGGTAACAGTGAGACCCTGTCTCAGAAAACAAACCAGCCAACGAAAAATTAAGCCTTAGGTAGCAGCAGAGACATGAAAGCAGGATTGATAATTTCTTGTAATTTAGAAGATCTAGTTTCTGAATGTACTAAACTATACATATATAATGATTTCCATTTCTTAGTGATAACTTAAATTCTCTGCAAATCAGAAGTCCTAAATCAAGCTCTCTATTGCCCAGGGTTATAGACCTCCCCACAGTTCCTCCCCCTTTTCTTTGCCTCTAGGCCTCAATGAAACCTTGAGCCTCATGACCATGTCTTTCTTGCTCTTTACTATCCACTTACATCATGCATTCTCATGGGTGCAATGTTACTTCCCGTCCTCCAAAGGAAGAAATTGTTTCTTGGGGGTAGGGGATAGAGGTAGCAAAAAAATTTTAGGTAGTATAAGTTAGTAGAATGGTTTATGTCTCTCCAAAGGGCCAGGACATAAGCAGTGTATTAAAATTTCATGGGGTGAAGGGATAATCTGGGGAGGAAAAAGTCTGGAAAAGTTCCTTTGGGAGAGTAATAATGAAGAAATCTTGAGAAGCACCGAACTAATTAGAAATCTCAGACACTGAAGAGCTCAAGGCAGAAAGAGTCTAGTCCAGAGACTATAAATAGCCCACAAAGGAGATGGCAACATAATCCCCATTCTTGGTGGGGACAGACCCAGACACAGGGAAGGCAAGCATAATAGAGACAATAGATTCTTTCCAATCTGACTTTTGGGAATTTTGAGGCGGGAAGATGGGAGAGGGCTAGCTATATGTGCAAGATGATATGGTAGGCCTGGCATGGTGGTTCATGCCTGTAATCCCAGCACTTTGGGAGGCTGAGGCAGGAGGATCACTTGAGGCCAGGAGTTCAAGACCAGCCTGAGCAACATAGTGTGACCCCTATCTCTAAAAACATTTTAAAAATTAGCTGGGCATGAAGGTGCACACCTGTAGTCCCAGCTCCTCAGGAGGCTGAGGCAGGAGGATCGCTTGAGGCCAGGAGTTCAAGCCCAGCCTGGGCAACATAGTGTGACCCCTATCTTTATAAACATTTTTTAAATTAGCTGGGCATGAAGGTGTGCACCTGTAGTCCCAGCTCCTCAGGAGGATGAGGTGAGAGGATCACTTGAGCCTAGGAGTTTGAGGTATAATTGTACCACTGTGCTTGAGTCTGGGCAACAGAGCAAGTGACTGTCACACACACACCAAAAAAAAAACAAAAGAAGAACGAGTAAACCTAGTTATGGGGAACATCAAAGTATAGGCAGGAGAAAAGGATCCAGTAACACAGCTAAGGAAAAATCATCTAGGTAGAAAGAGAACCAGGAAATGTAGTGTCATGAAAGCCAGGGGTGGTTACCAGAACCAGATCCCACAGAAGGGCCTAGCATGTAGGCATTTAATTTTTAAGAACACATTAAACAGGTTTGTTATAATCTTTTTAAGTATAAAGAAGAAAATTTATCTGTAAATTTTTGCCCTCCATACTCACCATTAGCCTTTTTGAGTTTAACATCTCGTCATCTAGTGTTTGTGTGTGTCTATCTGTGTATTCAGTTAGTATCCTATGTATTTTCACTATATATAATATGTATTATAATTAATATATAATATAATATACTAATCTATATTATAATATATAATATATATGATACATATTATAATACATAATAACATATATAATATACTTATATATTACATAATACATAAATATATAGAATATATCTCATATAATATATAAATAGTAGATAAAAGATTTCAATTAAAATATGTACTGTGAGATTGTTCAAAGCAATTATATAATATATATTTATAAAATATATATTGTATATTATATTATTATATATTGTATTATATATTTTATAATGTATTTACATATAATATGTATTATATATTATATGTAATTAGTATATTAGTGTTATAGTATATGGTATAGTATATAGTATATTAGTATATATATAATTAGTGTAACTAGTATATTAGCATTACTATTAAATTTAAATCCTATGTCTTCGTATGATTTTTAAGTAGTGGATAAAAGATTTCAATTTAAAGAATATGTACTATAAGAGATTGTTCAAAGCAATTATGTTATAACCATGTCAGAATAGCAGGCTGTCATTAAAATAATACCTTAGAAGCAAAATGCTCCTCACTGTACATATAATATTTAATTTTTTAATTGAAATCTTTTATCCACTACTTAAAAATTGTACAAAAACATAGGATTTAAATTTAATAGTAATACTAATTAAATAATTTATTACAAATTTGCTAATAACTATTATATTTGTATACTACTTTTTTATTTTTCCTGGTGCTTGCGTTTATCTCTCTCTTGTTTGATCTTTACTAATAGAGAACGAGCAATCCAAGAGATGCGTCGACATGGTCTTCCTACACCACCCCTTAGTTCCACTCTGAGGTCTCCTTCACATTCTCCTGAACATATAAATGCGTAATTATCAGAAAGGTATGTATGTAACACCAAGGACAGGCAAAACTAATCTGCGGTTGTAAAAATTCAGAAAGTTGTTTTCTTCATTGGGAGAGGGGAGATTGCCTGGAAAGGCGTCCAGGAGAACTTCCTGGAGTAATGGAAAAGTTTCTGCATCTTGGTCATAGTAGTTATGTGGGGATATACAATTGTAAAAATTCATAAAACTGACCATTTACAGTGTGTGCTTTTTTTTTTTTTTTGAAGAGATGGGGTCTCGGCCAGACACAGTGGCCCACACCTGTTATCCCAGCATTTTGGGGAGGCTGAGGCTGGAGGATCACCTGAGGCTAGGAGTTTGAGACAAGCCTGGGTAACATAGTGAGATCCCCATCTCTACAAAAAATACGAAACTTAGCCAGGCATGGTGACACACGCCTGTAGTCCCAGCTACCAGCTGCTAGGGGGTGGGGGAGGATACTGAGGCAGGAGGATGGCTTGAGCTCAGAAGGCTGAGGCTGCAGTGAACTATGATTGCACCATTACAGTCCAGTTTGCATGACAAGGCAAGCCGCTATCTCCAAAAAAAAAAAAAGACAGGGTTCTCACTGTCTTGCCTGGGCTGGCCTCAAACTCCCAGGCTCAAGCAGTCCTCGCACCTCAGCCTCTTGAGTAGCTGGGACTACAGGCTGGCCCGTGCATTTTATCGTATGTAAATTATACCTGAATTTAAAAAGAGAAGACATCTACAGCATAACGTTAAATGACAATATGAGCTATCACAGAGTATTCTTTGATGAAGGGCTAAATTCAAGCTACAAATAATAGGTAGTAAAAATGTAGACAAAGCATAGAAACAGGAGTACACATGGCACAGTAGTCCCAACCTGGCAGGAAGGGCAGGCTGTGGGGGAATAATGCGGGAGAAAGGTTTGGAACTTAGAGTGGAATATATAGAGTATTATATTGAATGTGAAGCTAAATTAGGGATTATAGACTTTATTCTGTAAGTCAAGGGAAACCATGAAGGTCAGTCCTTCTATGTATAGGATGGGTACAAGGGAAGGGTCAAGATGAAAGAGCTGTTTCTGGTAGATTAATTTCACACCTGTCTTTCAACCATATTGGAAAGGATAGGAACTAGAGGTAGAGAGTCCAGTAAGTGGTATGAAATGAGCAGTATAATAGTTCAGGATTAGTATAATAATATTGAAAACTAGGACTGAATTTTTAAAGTAAACTATGATATATATACAGAAAGGTACCGTATCATAGATACATAGTTCAATGAAGTTTTTCAATGAACAAATTGAACACATCCAGGTAACCTGCATGAAAATCGAAAAAACAACAGGCCAGGCATGGTGGCTCACACCTCTGTAATCCCAGCACTTTGGGAGGCTGAGGTGGGTGGATCACTTGAGGTCAGGAGTTCAAGACCAGCCTGGCCAACATGGTGAAATCCTGTGTCTACTAAAAATAGAAAAATTAGCTGGGCATGGTGGCGCACGCCTGTAGTCCCAGCTACACGGGATGCTGAGGCAGGAAAATTGCTTGAACCCAGGAGGCAGAGGTGGCAGTGAGCCCAGATCGCGCCACTGCACTCCAGCTTGGATGACAAAGTGAGACTCCATTCAAAAAAATAAAATATAAAGCCTGGCACAGGAGACTGAGGTCGGAGGACTACTTGAGCCCAGTTCAAATCCAGCCTGGACAACAAAGAAAAACCCCATCTCAAAAAAAACAAAATAAAACAAAACAAAACTAACCTCTCTTGGGTGTCAGTCATAAGCCCTGGTCTAAAAGTAACTGTCCTGACTGTTAAAAGTGTAGATTTCTCTTTGCTTACTTTTAGACATTTTGTAAATGAAATGATGTTCCTGGCTTCTTTTTCTCAGCAGTACGTATTGTTGTGTGTACTTGTAGATTGTTCAGTCTTGTTGCTGTGTATGGAATGCCATTATGGAAACTTACTACAATTCAATTACTCCTCCTCCTCTTGATAATCATTTGGTAGTTTCCAGTTTGGGCTATTACAAATAGTGCTATGGTTATACTTAGAAGTGAAAGTGATGGATCATTGGATATATGTATGTTCAAGCTCTAGTAGATATGGCAAAACTGTTTTCCAGAGTAGTTGGAAAGTCCTAGGATGCATTTGACTGAGGAAGGATCAAAGGGATGTGCTAATTCACTGGAGATGAGAATGAATGGGAAAGAAACGTGAGTCAGACCCAGGCTTTGACAGGTAGTGACTGTGAAAATGCATACTCATTGACAGAAATAGTTACGCCAGTCTTGTTTAAATTGATACATTTCTTTGCCTCTTTTGATAGAAATATATAGAAGATAATTAAACATTTCCTCTGACTCAGAATCCTCATTGTGAACATTAGTTATGTGCTGTTCTTTAACATACTGATGCCCTCATGTTTGTAGAGCCTAGGTTTAAATGATTCCTGATTGCTCTGCTTTTGCTTTTGTGTTTGATTAAGGCATTTATTTTTCTCTTTCACTTTGAGGACCACTTCTCAGTGTTCACTGTAGTCACTGTGTCCTTCTTAAATTGCTGTGTTATTTTCATGTGATCCGGTGTTGGTTCACCTTCTTGTTACAAAGCCTTGTAAGAGTGTGACACAGACATTTTCTCATGTTTGATTCATAGCTGCAGTTTAGATCAGGGGTTGGTTGGTAAACTAGGATCTGCAAGCCAAATCCATACCACTGCCTATTTGTGTAAATTAAGCTTTATTGGAGCACAACCACACCCATTTGTTAACAGATTGTCTAAGACTGCTTTACTGCAGTGGCTGAGTTGAGTACTTTTGACAGACCCTATGGCCCACAAATCTAAAATATTTACTTCTGTCTCTTCACATCATGTAGCTCTGGAAAAACTCAACTGTAGACCTGTAAGAAAATAAGAGTGAAAGGCAAATAATTCCTTGGTTTTTGAAAATAAGCTTGACTTTGTAGAGTCCCTGAAAGAGTATTGGGGACTCTCAGGGATCCCCAGACTGCACTTTAAGAACTACTGATGTGGAACGTAGATTCCTGCAATCCCTAAAACTGTGATGAATTAGACATTGCATTTTTGTTTTGTTTTGTTTTTTGAGCCAGGGTCTCACTCTGCCACTGGAAGGATGTGGCATGGTCATAGCTCACTGAAACCTCAAACTTCTGGGCTCAAGTAATCCTCCTGCCTCAGCCTTGGGAGTGACTGGGACTAGAGGCACCACACCCATCACCACTATCTAATTCTAATATTTTTTTATCTCCCCAAACAGAAATTCTGTACCCATTAAACAATCACTCTCCAATCCCCAGACCTCACCTTCCCAGCTCCTAGTAACTTCAAATCTACTTTTCTGGTCTCTATGAATTTGCCTATTTTACATTTTCATATAAGTGAAATCATACATTTGTTCTTTTGTGTCTGGCTTATTTCACTTAGAATAATATTTTCCAGGTTCATCCAGATGTAGGATATACCACATTTTAAAAATCCTTTCATCATTTAAAGACACCTGGGTTGTTTCTACCATATGGTTATTGTGAATAATGCTACTGTGAGCATTGGTGTATAAGTATCTGTTTTAGTCCTTGTTTTCAAATCTTTTGGTATATACCTAAGACTAGAATTGCTGGGTCATGTGGCAATTCTGTTAAACTTTCTGAGGGACTGCCAAACTGTTTTCCACATGCTGCACCATTTTATATTTCCACCAACAATGCATGAGGGTTCCTGTTCTCCACATCGTCACCAACACTTGTTATTTTCCATTTTTTAAAATTTCAATGATTCTAGTACATGTGGATTAGAAAACTTCTATAACCATTAACAAACTCGTAATTTATAACTTTGTAATAATTTGCAATTAATTTTTGAGGTATGTTGAGATTATTTACTAATCCATTTCCACTCATATTTTCTAAATATTGTCACCAAAACTAATTTTAAGGGATTTCCCCAAGCACTCAGAAATGAATTGCTCAAGGAAAAAAAAATGAATTGCTCAACTAAAAAATGGCATCTCAGATTAGTGTCTCTTAATACTTAAAATATATAATCCAACTTTTATTCTTTCTTTTTTGACTGTCATATCTAATGCATGCTATTTGAGTAGGAAAAACCAACAAAACTGTTTTTCCGATTCTCGTACACCACTCAGCACACCACTTCAGGCACCGTATTCTCCAGCAGACACCAACTGATCTCAGTTTCAACATTTAACTCAATTCTGACATTATCTGCCTGGAGATAGTGTCAGATCCCACAGATTAAGAGCTCAGTCCCACAAATCCCTTCCCCTTGACTTCAGATGCCAATCGCAAGTCCCAGGTTGTGATCTGTGCTTCTGACTGATGAAGTTTCCACAACCCCCTCATCACATTCTATTAATTTGCTAGAGCAGCTCACAGAACTCAGGGAAACATTTTACATTTACCTGCTTATTGAAAAGGCTATTACAAAGGATACAGATTAACAGGCAAATGGAAGGGATGCATAGGGCAATTATTAGGAAACCAGCTCAAAGCTTCTGTGCGTTCTCATGGCGCACCACCCTCTAAGCATCACCAAGTGTTCAGCTATCTGAAAGATTCCTGAACCCAGTTTTTGGAGGTTTTATGCAGGTATCACTAAGTAGGCATGATCGATTAAATCATTAGTCATTGGTGATAAACTCAACCTTCAGCCCTTCTCCTCTTTTTGGAGGTTGAGGTGTGGGGTCAGTGGCCCAATTCTCTAATCATGCTTTGGACTTTGTGGTGATCAGCTCCTGTCCTGAAGCTGTCTAGAGGCCCCTAGCCACCAGTCATCTCATTTGCTTGCAAAAGACACAGTTATCACTGTGGAGATTACAAGGAGCTGTGGACCAAGAACCAGGGGCAGAGACCCAATATATACAGTCACACATTGCTTAACAACAAGGGACATGTTCTGAGAAATTTGTTTTAGGTGTTTTCATTGCGCAAATGTCATAGAATGTATGTACTTACACAAACCTAGACGGTATATAGCCAACTGCATACCCAGGCTATATCGTATAGCCTCTTGCTCCTAGGCGATAAATCTGTACAGCATGTTACTGTACTGAATACTGTAGGCAGTTGTAACATGGTGGTATTTGTGCATCTAAACATAGAAAACGTACAGTAAAAATACAGTTTAAAAGATAACCAGTGGTACACCTATATGGGGACTTACCACAGATGGAGCTTGCAGGACTGGAAGTTGCTCTGGGTCAGTCAGTGAGTGAGTGGTGAGTGAATATGAAGGCCTAGGACATTCCTGTTCACTGCTATAGACTTTATAAACACTGTATACTTAGCTATACTAAATTTATTGTTTTAATTTTCTCCAATAATAAATTAAACTTGGCTTACTATAACTTTTTTCCTTTATAAACTTTTTAATTTTTTTTAACTTTTTGACCCTTTTATAGTGACACTTAGCTTAAAACACAGATTTCATAGCTGTACAGAAATGTTTTTTTCTTTATATTCTTATTATGTAAGCTTTTTTTCTATTTATGAAATTAATCTTTTGTTTTACTTTTTAAAGTTTTTTGCTAAAAGCAATGACACAAACACACACATTATCTTAGGCCCACAAAGAGTCAGTATCATCAATATCACTGTCTCCTTCCTCTACATGGTGCCCCACTGAAAGGTATTCAAGGGAAATAATGTTTACGGAGCTGTCCTCCCCTGTGATAACAGTGCCTTCTTCTGGAATACTTCCTGAAGGACCTGCCTGAGGCTGTTTTATAGTTCACTTTTATTTTTTAATGAGTAAGAGTACACTCTAAAATAATGATTAAAAGCATAGCATACTAAATACTAAGCAATAGGAAATTTTCGGTTCTGTTATAATCTTTTGGGACCACAGTCTTTTATGCAGTCTGTCATTGACCAGAATATCATTATGGAACATATGACCATATTTCTGTGTGTTTTTTTTTTGTTTTAAGAGACAAGGTCTCACGGTCTCGCTCTGTTGCCCAGACTGGAGTGGTGCAGTGTGCCATCAGAGCTCACTGTAGCCTTGAACTCCTGGGCTCAAGCAGTTTCCCACCTTGGCCTCCTGAGTAGCTGGGACTACAGGTGTGTGCCACCACACCCAGCTAATTTTTGTATTTTTTTAAATAGATATTGGGTCTCACTATGTTGTCCAGACTGGTCCTGAACTCTTGGGTTCAAGCGATCCTCCTGCCTCAGCCTCCCAAAGTGCTGGGATTACAGGCATGAGCCACTGCACCCAGTTTGTATTTCTTATTATAATGCAGTATCACACAGATTCACGGAGGAAACATAAAATACAGAGACATATAAATAAAGAAACAAAAAATCACTTTTTTAAACAAAAGTATAAGCCAGGCAGAGTAGCTTACACCTGTAATCCCAGCATTTTGGTAGGCCAAAGTGAGAGGATCACTTGAGCTCAGGAGTTTGAGACTAGCCTAAACAACATAGTAAGACCTTGTCTCTACTAAATACCAAAAAAAGAAGCCAGGTATGGTGATGTGCACCTGTTGTTCCCGCTACTCTGGAGGCTGAGGCAGAAGGATCACTTGAGCACAGAAGATCAAGACTGCAATGAGCTATGATCATGCCACTGCACTCCAGCCTGGGTAACACAGCAAGAACCTGTCTCTAAATAAATAAATAAATAAATAAGTGAATAAAGTACAATGAATAAAACAGTACTTGAATTTTAAGAAGTAGAACAGTACTTCTTAAATGTAACTGGTCACAGAGTTTTATTAGATTCTATAATTTCATTTAAAACATTACTGAATTTCAGTTTTTTATGAATATGTTGAATAACTTCATCATTTTTCTCTTAACCCACTTTTCAATTTCCCGCCTTTCAGAATAATGGTTTTCAATGAGTTCCTATGTGGATTTTTAGAAGAACAGAACAGTAATGAAATATTTGAAGTACTTGTTGCTGAAAATCATGAACATGGACACAAATTCTACCTCTGTCAACTTTTATTTAAATCAGTGAATATGTTAAAAAGTTTGGTTTAAAAGAACTATATCTGTATGTATATTTTCATATATATGACAGAACAAGAATATGTATTAATAGTGCCTAATGTTATATCTATGTTTTTTTATTCATGAATTAAATTACTAAAAGTATGTTTATACTGTGAATTAATATAATGTATTCACATTATTCTTTAATAATCTGTTTCTTAATAACCCATGATATATGTATGTAAATATTACAGTACTTGTTTTTAGTTTTCATGCCTATGTTTAGCCCATATCTTAATGTATTCACAAAGAATGATCAACTTTGATGCTATGCTGTCAGGCTTAACTTTTTCTTAAAATTATTTCGTAGATTTACTGTCTGTTGTCAAGGGGAATATATTCAGGTCTGGTCTTCTTATAATAGCAGAGATCTTGGTAAAATAATGATTACCATATATAATGTGTTATTGCCACCTAGAAGAACTATGATGAGAAAGAAACATTTATATATTATGTAAAATATTATTTTAACTATCATCACATGGACTCTCTGTGTAACACAGATTCTATCAAAAGCAAACTAAAAGCTATATGCAGAATTTTGTATAAAACAATAGAACGGAAATTTGGGGCATTTTTCTAGGAAATAAAATTCCTCAGTGTATTAATCTAAGGTTTCAAAATATAAAAGTATATGGGTAGGCTGGGTGCGGTGGCTCACACCTGTAATCCCAGCACTTCGGGAGGCCAAGGCGGGTAGATTACCTGAGGTCAGGAGTTTGAGACCAGCCTGGGCAACATGGTGAAACTCGTCTCTACTAAAAATACAAAAATTAGCCAGGCTTTATGGCGGGCACCTGTAATCCCAGCTTCTTGGGAGACTGAGGCAGGAGAATTGCTTGAACCCGGGAGGTGGAGGTTGCAGTGAGCCAAGATTGCACCATTGCACTCCAGCCTGGGTGACAGAGTAAGACTGTCTCAGGAAAAAAAAAAAAAAGTATATGGGGCAAATACAGTAAAACATTTTGTTAAATTCCAATATACATTCAGTGATACCATTCTTTTTCTTCTAAACCTGTGTGTTATAATTTACCAGTTCCCCAAAATGGCATTTTAACGCCAAACTGTGGCATATACGTGGAAAATATCTTTTTATAATTAATTTTCAAAGTTGTAATTTTAAAGAATTTGGGTGTATACCTATGTTAATGAAACAACAGAAGTACAAAAAAGAATGTCAGATACAAAAATCAATCGTGAAGAAAATCTGTTCTTAATATATTTCATTATGATCGAAAAACATAAAAACTAACATAGGAAAGTGAAAGATCAGTTACTTATATTTTGTTTCCTCTTGTGGTTTAATAAAGTGAAGTGTGTGTGTGTGTGTGTGTGTGTGTGTGTGTGTACCTGGGGGTGGGCAGTGCTCTTTTTCTAAAACTAATATGCCGTATATATCTGAATTATGACCTTTTTAGTGTGTATTAGGATGTGGGCTGGTTTGCTTTTCTCCCGCCTTTGTAATTTTATGTATCCCATCTCCTTTGTGTGAATTCATATATTACAGCAAAATACAAGAGACGTGGGACTGTTTGCAATACCATATGGACATCTTTTAATAAATATATGTAAATAAAATAAAAAATATTTGTCCCCACCTTTTCCCCAAAAACAACAGCAAGACATTTTTGTTAGATATTTTATTTTTAATGTTTTCTATAATTTAAAAATGTATAGTCTGCCAAATTGTTTTCATAACCATAATTTTTTTTGAAAAACAGTTTTATCTTAAAATACTGAATGTTCTGACTTTTTATAGATGTTTTTAATTTTGTTTTAAATAATTTTAAATTATGGAGCTTGACCTAGATTTGCCAATAAACTTTCTAGTCAATTTATTTTCTCTTTCTTACAAATAAGGTTTTTATAATTTTATATTAGCGATATTCTTAATTCTAAAATTAAATAAAATGTATTCAAATCAAACTTTATCATGGTGAGATATAGGCAAATCCCTGAACGTAGGTGCAGGCACCTTTCTTAACTGACTTTTATTTCCATTTAGTTCAAAATAATAAGAAATGAAGTCAAAGTTTATTTTCGTTATCCGTCCACAAAATGGTTAAACGTGTGTGTGTATGAATATACTCTCTTCTCACTTGCAAATGCTCTTTGTTGAGCACATTGACTCCCATTAGACTATGACACCTGTTACCCTACCTTATTGTAATTCATCATACAAGTGATCTCATACTTCTCTCCCTAATTCTTAGAAGATTTTAGCAAGTGGCTTACTATCTTTCTACCATTAGTTCTGTCATCAACCTTTTTATGTCATTATCTTCTTGGGCCAGTGGTTGTTGACCATACCTGCACATTGTAGTTATCTGGAGAATTTTAACAAAAAACTGATGTCTGAACCCCTACATCAGACCAAATACATCAGAAAATCTGCAATTGAAGTGTGGTCTTTTAAAAATTTTTTAACTTAAAAAATTGACATACAGTGTACATATTTATGAGGTACATAGTGATGTTTCAATACATATAATATATTGTGATCTGATCATTGTAATTAGCATATCCATCATCTTAAACATTTATCATTTTGTGTTGAGAACACTCAGTATCCTCTTCCTAGACATTTGAAGCCATATATTAACTACAGTCACCCTGCAGTGGTAGAGAATACTAGGAACTTCTTCCTCCTATCTAGCTATAATTTTGTATCCTTTAGCAAAGCTCTCCCTATCGCTCCCTTCCCCCTACACTTCCTGGCCTCTCGTATCCTCTATTCTACTTTTTCCTTTTTTTTAGCTTATACATATGAGTGAGAACATGCAGTGTTTAACTTTCTGTTTCTCACTTATTTCACTTAATTAACAATGTCGTCCACCTTCCATGTGACTGAGAATGACAGGATGGTGGTTTTGTTTGTTTTGTGTGTGTGTTTTTAAGGTCCTCTAGAAGACTGTAATGTTCAGCAGGGTTAATAATGTTAATTTAAGAGACTGATCCATCAAACTGATTTCATGACCCACTAATGGTACTTAACATATAGTTTTGAAGAACACTGCTTTAGATCTTGTCATCACCTCCAAAGTCTCAATTTCTAGCATCTTAACTCACCCCTCTTTCTAGGTTACTGTTTTGATTATGCCTATACCAACAATTCTTTGACTCCACTAGGTTCTTTAGACAATTGATTCTATCATCTGTCCCTTATCTATAATTTCATCACCTTCACTTTCTTTTTTAATGTTTGTCTATTTATTTATTTAGAGACGGGGTCTTGCTCTGTTGCCAGGCTGGAGTGCAGTGGCATGATCTTGGCTCACTGCAGCCTCCACCTCCTGAGTTCAAGCCATTCTCCTGCCTCCCAAGGAGCTGGGACTACAGATGCACACCACCACAACCAGCTAATTTTTGTATTTTTAATAGAGATGGGGTTTCACCATGTTGGCCAGGATGGTCTCAATCTCTTGATCTCATGATCCACCCGCCTCAGCCTCCCAAAGTGCTGGGATTACAAGCATGAACCACCACTCCTGGCCCATCACCCTCACTTTCTACTTTAGCATAGACATCATTGTCCTTGCACATCCCCTAAATTCTTGTCCTTCTGATCTGAAAAATACTGTTTATCTCCAGTTACTCCAGCTGCTTGCATCTATACTCACTGACTCTTTTTACTTTAAATTTATGGCCCAGAAAATCAAAGGCCCACAGCGCTGTGTGGCAATCCTTATACATTGTCCTGGTCAATTCACACTTAACCTCTCCCCAACAAGTATTCTCCTCTTTATTCAGATCTTCTATTCTCTCACTTTGTTTCTTTTTTTACTATGAGAAAATGGAAACAATAGAAAAGAACTTTCTCACTCTCCAAATCTATCAGTGTGTTCTCTATCCAACTAATTTTCTTTATTCTTATTAAGACATGAACCATCTCCACCCTTTAGCCATTCTGTCTAGCTGTGATCAGTAGCCATCTCTTCTACTAAAAAGACTTCTGCCAGGTATGGTGGCTTAGCCTATAATTCCAGCACTTTGGGAGGCTGAGGCAGGAGGATCACTTGAGCTCAGGAGTTCGAGACCAGGGCAATATAGGGAGACCTAATCCAGAAAATTTTTTGAAAATTAGCTGGGCATGGTGGCGTGTGCTTGTAGTCCCAGCTATTTGGGAGGCTGACGTGGGAGGACCACTTGAGCCTAGGAAGTTGAGGCTGCAGTGAGCCGCGATTGTTCCACTGCACTTTAGCCTGAACACACAGTGAGAGACCGTCTCAAATTTAAAAAAACGAAAACAAACAAACAAAAAACACACACACACACATTCCTGAGTCATTTTTGCTCTATTGGCTTGTTCTCACTTGCATATATACCTCCCATTTTTAATCTCCCATTTTAAAACCTTCCAAGGCCCTACCATTCCATTTTTGTATGCTTTATAGCAAAAATTCCCAGAAAAGAGTTATCTAACTCATGTCATCTCCCCCTTAACACCCACCTTTCTTTCTTGAACTACTCCAATCATGCTTACATTCCCATTACTCCAGTGAAACAGTTCTTATCAAGACACTATCCCCATGTTGTCAAATCCGATGGATCATCATCAGTCTTCTATTTACTCCATTTCTCAGCAGCATTTGACATACTGATTTTTCCATTTTTTAAAAAAAAATTTCTTTAGCCAGGTGTGGTGGCTCACACTTGTAATACCAACACTTTGGGAGGTCAAGGCAGGTGGATCACCTGAAGTAAGGCATTCTAGACCAGCCTAGCCAACAGAGTGAAACCCCATCTCTACTAAGAATACAAAAAGTAGCCAGGTGTGGTGGCAGGTATCTGTAATCCCAGCTACTCGGGAGGCTGAGGCAGGAGAATTGCTTGAACCTGGGAGGTGGAGGTTGCAGTGAGCCGAGATCGCACCATTGCACTCCAGCTTGCACACCAAGAGCAAAACCCTGTCTCAAAAAAACAAAAACAAACAAAAATAATGACCAGATGTGGTGGCTCACACCTGTAATCTCAGCACTTTGGGAGTCTGAGGCAGGTGGATCACTTGAGGTCAGGAGTTTGAGACCAGCCTGGCCAACATGGTGAAACCCCATCTCTACTAAAAATACAAAATTAGCTGGGTGCAGTGGCACACGCTTGTAGTCCCAGCTATTCGGGAGGCTAAGACAGAAGAATTGCTTGAACCCTGGAGGCAGAGGCCGTAGTGAGCCGAGATGGCGCCACTGCACTCCAGCCTGGGCAAGACAGAGCAAGATTCCATCTCAATAAAACAAAACAAAACAAACCATATTCTTCATTTTGCCTCCCCAATACCAAACCATCCGGGGTCTTCTTACTGGTTTTTCAGTTTCTTTTATTATATTCACTAACATTTCCTGACTTTTTTTTTTTTCATTTGATGAGGGTTTTTTTTGTGTGGTAAATATCATACAGAGTATCATTTTACCCATTTTTAAGTCTACAGTTCGGTAGTGTTAGGTTTATTCACATGGTTGTGAAGTATCTTCTCAACTTTTAAATGTAGGAGTATCCTAGGGTCTTAGTTCATCTCTACTTACTCTCTTGTTAACTTCAGAATTTATCTCTTCGGTTTCTGCCTTTTCTTCTGAATTCTAGACACATATATCTAAGTATTTGCATTAGTTCT